GGCGCGCGGAGGGGCTCCGGGGCGCGCCGGGGTGAGGCCGGGGCGCGGGGCCGCGGAGCGGAGGGGCCGGGCGCGCAGGGCTCGGGTCCAGGCTCCCGGTCCGCTCGCCGCGCCGGCCCTTCTGCCCCACGTGTGACCTTGGTCCAGTCGCGCGATCCTCTGGAGTTGGAGGGAGCCGGGTTCGAGTCTCGGGACTACCAGCTTCCTCACCCTGACCTTGGGAGAGTTGTTTCGCCTTTCCGAACCTCGGTTCTCTCATCTGAGAGGTGGGGACTTAACCTCGCTGGGTGGTGCGTGAGTCTTGGGTGAGATGAAGCTGGAAAAGTGCTTCGCACTGGACCTGGCGGAAAGGGAGCTTCTGGTGTGTGGTTGTCAGTAACGTTTGTAAGCCTGGGTTTCTTCCTGGGGAAAGTGGGTGCAGGGGGAGCGCGGTAATCTCGGAACCTGCCTCATGGGATTCCTGTGAAGTTTAAATGAAGTAAGACAGGTAAAGCACTTCGCGCCGGGTCTGGCACATTCCTGCTGAATTATTCTCTCTGTGGGGTTCCCTGTCTTCATCTGCAAAATGGAGCAATAGTGGGATCCGCCTCGCTGGGCTGATGGAGTGTTCAAGGAGATAATGCATGCGGAGTATGCAGAACCGGGCACATAGTGAGCGCTCCCTGTGTGTTTGCTGTTGCACACTGGTCTGCTGGACAGAGCCGGAGGTGGGTCAGCCAACATTACAAAGAGCGTGCCCTCCCGGAGAGCTCCTAGGTCCCTCTCCAGTGCTCGGCACCCAGGCGGTGCCTAGCATGTATGTATTGAATGAATGGATATCCAACATCTTTAGAAAAGGTAGGCTTGTTTCTGAGAAAGGGTGGAGGGTTGTAGAGGTGTTTGGAGTGTGGCAGGTAAGCAGGTTTATGGGGTGACCAAGAGGTCAGGGAGGCAGGCCCTGGGAGGTTTATAGGAGCATAGCTGAGGTGCTGGGGTTTTACGATGGGGAGGGAGGCTTGGGAACGTGCCATATTTACAGACCAGACCTGAGTTGAGTGCTGACAAGGGTATCATGTGACTGGAGGCAGAGGCCAGGTCGGTGGTGGAGCCCATGGATTGTTAGGGAAAGCGGGGACCAAATCGAGGGGTTGTTAGGCCCTGAAGTGGGAGCATTGTGTCAGGGCCCTGGCAGAAGCAGGCGAGTGGGTGGGTCGTGGTCTCACTGTGGATATGGATTGCGACGTGGCTGGTGATTCGGATCAGGTGAAGGATGGCTGAGGTTTCTGTGGTTGCCCATGGAAGGGAGAAAAGTTTAAGGGCTAATGAGGGAGATGAAGAGTAGCTGTGGCCAGGGGAGCATGAATTCTTCCTGGTGTGAATGAGAGAAACCCAGACCAGCTGTGTAGCCTCGAGACCAGCACAGCCTTGGGCGTTTCCCAGGGTCCTGGCACGCTTATGCCTTTCGAGCTTCGTTCCCAGCCCTCACCTGGGTTCTGGAGGGGCTGGCACCAAGGTGATTTCTGTCCTTTTGGAGTTTAGGTCAGCTTACCATGCTCAAGGTCCCTATCCCTTTGCAAGAGGCCTGGGGCCTGCGTGTAGCCCCACAAAAATGGAAAGCATAAGCTTAGCCAGAAGATGCACCTTCTCCCCAGTTCTTCTTTCCAGTGAAACCCAGGCCATGGTTTGGGCCTTCTTTTTCACCATACATTCTGCTGGTGTATTGATTTTTCACTCTGAAGTTAGTTGTGGCAGAAGACTCACTGGGTCAAGTGATCTGACTTATGGATCTGATTCCCTGGTTAGTCTGAGCATGTAGACTGTGTTGAGTAGAGGAGATGTAGGCTTTGCAGTTTAACGTTCCCTGACAGTGGGCTGACACTCAACGCCCAATTGTCATGAGGTTGGGAGGTGGTAGCCTTGGAAGTTCACGCTAATCTCTGGCAGCTGAGCAAGGTAGACGGGCATCTCGCCCTCCCCTCAATCTGGCTTCTTATGTGATGCTTCCTTAAGGGTTTTCAAATGATTTCATAGACACTGTCTCATTTGGTTCTTACCTGTTGCCTGTGTGGTTTGTCAGATATGGAAACTAAGGCTTAGAGTAGCTGACTAGTCGACTTGCCCCAAGTTGCACAGCTCCTCAGAGGTAAAGCCAGGAGTTTGTTGTTGTTGTTGTTGTTTTTTCAACAAAGAGCAAAATAGTTTAATAATAAACTTGTTTGTTGTTTAGTTGCTAAGTTGTGTCCGACTCTTTACGACCTCATGGACTGTAGCCCACCAGGTTCCTCTGTCCATGGGATTCTCCAGGCAAGAACACTGGAGTGGGTTGCCATGCCCTCCTCCAGGGCAAAGCCAGGAGTTAATGCACATGATGCGTTGTGAGCAGCTGGTGTCAGGCCTGGCAAACAGTAGGCCCTCGATGAATGTTAGTCTTTCTGTAGAAATCTAGAGCTCTTCTTCCCACTCTGACACATTGTATCTGCTTCTGGAATACATCCTCTCAGCTTTTGCATCTCTTTTCTATGCCTAAGGTTGTACACAGTCTCTCAGGGGCTTCTGACATTGGCTCTGTAACAGCATTTCGTCTGGTCCAGGAGGCTGACCAAACTCATTCTTAGAACCCACAGGCTGTGTTGGAGATCAAGTTAAAGCCTCTGAGTCCACAGCTGAGTGAACTGTGGCTCAGAGAGGGGAGTGACTTGTCTGAGGTTGTACAATGAGTTAGTTACTGAGCCAGGATTAAAGCTGAGCACACCTTACTCAAAGCGCTCGGGGTCTTCAGCAGTTGAGAACTGAAGTGAGGAGGAGTGGAGGAGCTGGAACAGATGGAGGAGCCCGGCCACGGCGGGGCCTGCCGTGCAGGCTTCTGAGGACAGAGTGTCTGGGCAGGACGAGGGGCAGAGCGGGGAGGGCTGGGGTTTGGTGGAGACGGAGAGTGGTGGGTTCGTTTTCCACAGGATGAGTCTGTCTCCCCACTTCCAGAAGGCAACAGGGGCCGGGCTTCTACTCCCTGCGGGGTCGAGGGTGATGGGCCGGGGTGGCCGTGGGGAGGCTGTTGACTTTGGCTGAGGTGAAGGCTGATCGGCACCCTGCACTTTCCTGCTTCTGTGGGTGCTGCGTGTGTTCCCAAGGCTACCTCTTCAGAGACATTTAGGAAACGTGTTTCTCAGGGTGGGTTTCCCTTCCTTCCAGAGAGACCAGCCAGGCCAGAAGTGGGTGTCGGCCTGAAGCAGCAGTTGACGGGGTGACTATAGTGGTTTTGAGCAGCTCTGCAGATGAGCTTGGGGTAAATGAAGCCCCACCCTTCCCCCTCCCACACCCCCCCCAAGGCCAGGCTGAGGGGGACGCTTCTGCTGTCCTGCTTCATGCAAAGGGCATACCCCCATCCCTTAGGCTTCTGCTACACTCCCCCCCCCCCCCCCCCGCCAAAGTTTGAACACCCGCGCTTGGGCTCTTCTTCCTGCTGCAGCCATAGCGTCAGGTGGCATGGCCGACTGTGATCGGCCCTGGTTTAGTCAGAAGTTCACTGAACAGTGTTCTGTTGGCGCCTACTAAATGCTGGGCCTGGCTTCCAGCCCCAGGGCTGTGCAGGGCGAATGAGGCGGGATCCCCTTCCTGGAGGAACTCAGGAACTTGTGGCCCAGACACAAGGTTTTCGCTGAGTAAGCGGGCCAGGAGGCTCCGGGAGGAAGCAGGGAGCCGGCAGCCCGTGGGGTGGTGGCATGGGGCAGAGCGCCGCTGCGAGGGGCCGGCCCGGGACCTGCTCTCCCCCTCGGCCCGGCCGGCAGGAAGCCTCGCGCGGGCAGCGATGAGGAAGTGGGCCCTGCGCGCACAGACGCTGAGCAGCGGCCCGGGGCTGCGGCACCTGTCTGCTCAGAGTGGCGCTGGCCTGCCTCCGGGACGGTCCAAGCCCGGTTCGCTCTGTCAGGCCGACCAGGTCTTCTGGGCATCGCTGGGTGAATCGCCCACTGGGAGAGGTCCCCAGAGGAGATGGTCAGAGAGAATGCCTGGGTCAGCTGGGGAAGGGGCAGAGGCTGCGCCTTCTGCGGGTTTGGGGAACACACACACGCACACACACACGTACTCACAATTAGCTCTGCGCTGGGTGTGCAGGGGTGGTGTCTGAGACCCGGGGCCTTGCTTTTAGTAGTGCTGCTAAAACTCTTTAACAGGAATGAGACAGAGCAGCCACTTTGGGTCTCTTTATTTATTTAAAATATTATTTAGTTGGCTGTGTTGGGTCTTAGTTGGGGTATGTGGGACCCCCAACTAGGGATCGAACCTGGGAACCCTGTATTGGGATTGCAGAGTCTTAGCCCCTGGGCCACCAGGGAAATCCCAGGTGTTTTTATTATTCCACTTCCTGAAGCAGATGCAGGAAGACTCCCAGAGCAGCATGTATCAGCAGGACTCAGATCCAGCACCCACCCCCAGCCCTGCTGAGGCCCCGAGACTAGCGTGTAGCTCTCGGAGCCTCAGGTGCCTCTTCCTAAGAGATGCAGCCGGGCTTGCAGGCATGTGTGCGCGTGGGCTTCCTTCTGTGCTTGGCTGACCCAGCGGGGGCGGGACAGGACAGGTGTCCCTGGGGGCTCATGCTGCCGGGGGTGGATGTCGATGGGATTGCAGCAATCCTTATGAGGATTCTGTCGGTCCTTGGAACAGTAGAGGCTGTGGTAAGTGAAGCGGTCTGAGCACTGTGAGCTGTTGGACTGAGGAGTGTCAGGCGGACGCCCCCTCCCCGCCAGTGGTGTCGGCCGGGGGGAGAGTGGCCAGCAGTGGCTTCGAGTTGTCTGGGCCTCCCTTTCCTGGCCCACAGACCAGCCCTGATGGTCTCCAGGGTGCTTTGCAGCCGTGCAGCCCTTGTCTCACCAAGCTGAAGGACCGCACGTGATGTGTTTTCTCCGGACGGTGTTCTGGACACCCCTGGGGGCCAGGAGCACTGGGTCGGCCTTCCTCAGCCTCATTCCTGTTGTTGGGTCTCTTCGAGGGGTTGCTGGACCCGGGCATGGGCCCCTTTCTCGTCTATGGCTTGGGGGCAGCTTGGGGCTTACCCTGAGATGGAGGACAAGGTCAGAGGTGGAAAGGGGAGAGGTGTTCTGGTGGGAGGCTGGCTGGGGAGGGAGGTGAGTGCTGTCGTGCATCTGGAGAGCCGGGACCCCGCCCGTCTCCCTGAAGCGGGGTCGGGCTTGGAGCGGACACCCAGGCCGCCTCTCACCCCCTGCTCTCTCCCCTGCAGGTGTCGGTAAGAGCAGCTTACTGTTACGTTTCGCAGACAACACTTTCTCAGGTGAGTGTGCCCCTGGGGTGCTGCTGGGTGTTTGGGTTTTAAATCCTTTCTCCTGGCGCCGGTACACCCTGGTTTCTGCCTCACCAGATGGAAGGGGGGCGTGGCGAGTAGGCTAGAAGTCTCTGTAGTCAGTCTTCAGCTATCTTCTTAAAAAAAAAAAAGCTGTTGCAGGCCCATCATTTTTCTACTCAGGGTCTTTTTTTGTGCCCCAACATTGAAAAAAGAAAGGAAAAACTGCCGCTTGGGACATGCCTATGTAAAGAGTCAAACAGGAAGACTCAACAGCATGAAAAGGGAACGCTGCTCCCGGCCCCCGCCCCGCCGTGGGGCCCGCACTGGTGCTCGGTGTCTCCCCTCACCCCCACCTGCGCTGGGCGGCCGCTGGCCTCCCCCCAGCACGTCGGGGGTCGTCCTTGCACGTCGACACGAGGCCCTGTGGTTCTTTCGAGTGGCTGTGCAGGGGTGCACGTGGTTCGTCAACAGTGTTCTTGACACGCGCGTTTGCTTTCTGGTAGCCTGTCTCAGATGGTGCTGCATTGCTCAGGACACTGCATTTATTCCTGGGTAGAAGCGGAGTTACGAGGTCGGGGGGTATGTGCTCTTCAGGTTTTCACAGGTCCTGCCCATTGGCCTTTGACACCCGTGTGAAGCTGAAGGGCTCAGAAGAGCCCCTTGTCGGTGCTGATCGCTGCTGTGTTTCAGTGGTCTCCATTTTGCTCAGCTGATGGGCAGAAAGTGCTGCCCGTTTGATCTTGTGTCCCTGATCCTGGTGGGCCACGTTTTCATTGGTGGAGCTGATCGGTTCAGTGCAGAGGCTTCCGGTTGGCCTGGCCTTTCTGACTGAGGACTGAAGGAATGCCCTTCTATGCCGTGGAGGGAAGTGGTTACATGGCAGGCGCCTCTCTCTCAGGGGAGAGGTGGGTTTCTCCTGACAGTGGTGGTGTGACGTTGGAAAGAGTTGTCTTCTTTGCGTCACTGTGAGTGTGACTGAGTTTCAACTCATCTTTAAAAGAGGAGCTGATGACCCTCCCTGCCACGCAGAGTTATTGCAAGGATGGCCCGGGACCAAGTAAGCCCTCAGTAAACATTGCTGGTTTTCCTTGCTCTCCAGGAGTGCTAGCCAGTCGGCACTTGCCCCTGTGCTGGGGACCTTCCCCTCCGCCCTGTCGGCTCGGAGCTCTCGGAAGGCTCTGCTGCGGCCCGTCTCCTCTCCACTCTTACTGCCAGCTCGGACCGTGGTTGGTTCTCACCTGAGTCATCCCAGCAGCTCCTGCCCACCCCATGTCAGGCTGCTGAATTCGTCTTGTCTCTGGCAGGGTTTCTTCTGTTTAAAAACCTCAGCGGACCTCTCTTAAGTGAGCCGAGCTCATAGCAAGGTCTCTCCGCTTTAGGACCACGGACGCTGGGCCCTGCAGTTCTTTGTTGTGGAGGCTGTTCTGTGCGCAGAGGGGTACTGAACCCTCCCCCATCCTCCACCCCCCACCCAGCTGTGACATGAAAATGTCTCCAGGCATCACCAGGCATCCTGGGGGGCGGGGTTGGGGGGGCCTCAACCAACCCCCTCTGAAAACCGCTGGTCTTCATACTGTGTCCTCAGCTCCCCTGTCCAGCTTCCTTCCTCCTGCTGTCTCTCATTCTCCTTTGTGTCTTCACCAGCTCGCTCGCTCGCTCAGTGGTCAGCCGAGTTTCGAGGGCCCACGGCACTGGGTGCTGGGCTGCTCTCCTCAGCGGAACCCAGTCCCCGTGGAGCCAAGGCCATCTTGGTCTCTGTGCTTCTGCCTCCGGCCTTTCCTCTGGCGAGGATGTCCTTCTCCAGCCTGGTCGCAGCCTTGGAAATTGTACCTGTTCTTCCTGTCCAGGCCCAAATGTGACTTCTGCCCTAGAGCCTTCCTTGAGCTCCGCCCGACTTTGAGCTTTGGCCCTTCCTGGCCACTCTCCGCTCTTGATGCAGTCGGTGTGTGTGTCTGCGGCCCCAGGTCACCCTGGCAGCTCCGAAGGGAATGAGCATGTGGGCTCCTCCTAGCAGCGGTCCTCAGCGTTTTGGGCACCAGGGACCAGTTTATGGAAGACGGTTTTCCCACAGACTGGGTGCAGTGGGGGTTAGGGTTTCAGGATGATTCAAGCGCATTACCTATATTGTGCACTTTCATCCTATTATTGTGACATCGACTTCACCTCAGATCATCAGGCATTAAATCCCGGAGGGAGGCTGCGGACCCCTGCTTCCTAGCATTTGAGCCTTTGAAAGCCTGGACGAGACTGTTCTGTCGCCAGAAGTTCTCTCCAGCGCCATCTTTCACACAGATGCCCCTGGAGAGCTATTTACAATGCCGCTTATGCTTGGGTTAAACCCTTCAATGCCTCCCTGTCACACAAGAGAAAGTCCAAGCTCCTGAAAACGGCACAAAAGCCGAGAGCTGGCCTGGAGCCCCCACTCCAACCTGCGTCCCTACATGTGCTCAGCCTCACATCGCACACACACACACATTGCTGCTTCTGCTGCTGTCTCTTCTGCTGCCTGGAGCAGTTTTTCAGATTGCAGGTTATGACTCTGTGTGTGTGTGTGTGTGTGTGTGTGTGTGTAATTGGGGTATAGTTGATTTACATTGCTGTGTTAATTTCGGGTGTCCAGCAAAGTTAATCAGTCATATATACACATATATCCACTCTTCCTTAGACTCTTTTCTAGGCCACTACAGAGTACTGAGCAGAATTCCCTGTGCTATACAGTAGGTCCTTGTTAGTTATCTATTTTGTATACAACAGTGTGTATGTGTCTTGTTTATGTTTTAGAAAGTCAATTTTGTGGGTCACTTAAAATGTTTAGAATGGAGTAGACAAACCCAGAGCGTGTCGTGGTCCCCACGGTTCCCAGGCCACTCTGGTGGAGCGTTTCCCTCCGCAGTCAGGGCCCGCTCTCTTATTTCCTTTGAAATTGTCTTCATCACTCTGTTTCATTGTATCCTGTCTCCTGCCCTCACCTTGGGGCTCAAACTCTTTTTTTGTCCAGGGCTGTGTCCTCTAGGCACTTGGAGTGAGCTGGGCGGGGTGGAGCCCAGGGTTACTTGGACTGTTGAGGACGCAGTCTAAGCAGGACGGTCCTGGGCCGTGCTCACGTCCCTGTGTGTGCAGGCAGTTACATCACCACGATCGGAGTGGATTTCAAGATTCGGACTGTGGAGATCAACGGGGAGAAGGTGAAGCTGCAGATCTGGGACACAGCCGGGCAGGAGCGCTTCCGCACCATCACCTCCACGTGAGTCAGGCTGGCCCAGCCCGCTCCGACCCCCGCTCCCTCTTAGACAGACCACCCACCCCCACTCAGACCCCCATCCCCGAGGCTGTGGGGAGGTGCGCTCCTGGCCGGGTATGGCTCCTCCCCTGAAGCCCTGAGACGCGGCGGGTCGTGTGCGGTCCCGCCGTGGCAGGCAGCAGCCTCGCACCTCCCTCTGGGGCTGGCAGGGCAGCATGCATCGGTCGGCAGAGCCTCTGGTTCCTTTGTCTTTATTTTTTTTTAAGATTTGTGTATTTATTTATTTATTTTGGCTGCGCTGGGTCTTGGTTGCGGTGTGTGGGCTTCCCCTTCTGTGGAGCATGGGCTCAGTGCTTGTAGCTTCTTGGAACATGGGATCTTAGTTCCCCAACCAGGGATCAAACCCGTGTCCCCTAGATTGGAAGGCAGAGCCTTAACCACTGGTTCACCAGGGAAGTCCCTCCTTTGTCTTTAAAATCGGGTCACACTGACAGTGCTGGCCTTGCCAGGCGGTCAGACGCTCAGGCAGCGAGGGTGCCCTTGTTTGGTGTCAGCTCGCCTGCTGGGGGTGCCAGCTCTGTCACCACCCCGACGTGGAGGGGGGCGTCTCTCTGCTGGGGTCCAGAAGGAGCACTGGTAGGTAGGAGGCTATTGGGCGGCCCCCTCCTCTGCCTCCCAGGCTGTTGACTGGGGACCCAGCGCACCCTGGAGGCTTCCCTGGTGGCTCAGATGGGAAAGAATATGCCTGCAATGCAGGAGACCTGGGTTCGTGCAGTCCTGGGTCGGGAAGATCCCCTGGAGGAGGAACCCACTCGTGTATTCTTGCCTGGGAAATCCCAGGGACAGAGGAGCCTGGCGGGCTACAGTCCGTGGGGTCGCAGAGTCGGACACGACTGAGCGACGAGCAGACCCGCTCACCCTGGGGGCCGCCCTCCTTTTTGTTCTCTGCTGTGAGCGGGAGGAAGCCTGGCTGGGGCACCAGACTGCAGGGTCCTGTGGAGTGGCTCTTAGTTCCTGGGCTGTTATTGGAACAGGTCCCGGGAAAGAACAGGGCTTTGAAGGCAGGCAGTTCGGGATTTACATTTCTGCTCCCCGTGTTACCTTGGGCAAGTTGCTTAAAGTCTCTGTTCTCTTGTTTCTCAGGGGGCTTGTCTTCGGGGTTTGCAGTAATGCCAGGTCCCGGGTGCTTGGGCTGCACGTGGAAGACTCCGTGGAGCCCCCTGCAGTTGGTGTTCTCATCGCCCCGGTTGTACGGACGGGGGAAGCGTCTGAGGGGTGTGTGCAGAGTAGGAGCCGGGTAGCCCGGAGCGGCTGCTGCTCCCCCGGCCTCTCCTCTGCCTCCCGCAGTGGGTCCTGTGTGAGGGGCTTTCGGGGAGGCGCCACCAAGGTCCTTCTCCTCCCTGTGGGGTGGAGGCGGGCGGCCCCCAGGCTGGCCGCCCATCGGGGCTGCCGAGCATCCCAGGGGTGCGAGGTGTGGGGGTGAAGACCCCCAGGCTGGTGGCTGGGAGTGCGGGGGAACCAGGGGTGCCAGCCGGGTGGACTGGTGAAGGGGGCTTGGGGGCCGGAACCTGCACCGCCCTGGAGCAGGAGGGGGTCCAGTCACCGGGCCGGCCCTGAGACGAGCACGCGCGCCGTGATCCGCGCCTCCCCGAGAGCCCGGGGGTCCCCAGTCCTGGGGGCTTCGCAGGGCAGGTCTCTGCAGCCACCTCCTGATGAGCTGCCTGAGCCCCCTGGTGTCAGCGGCTGCCAGCGAGGCCCGAGCTGAGGGGCAGCTGGAGTCGAGGCTCCCGGGGTAGTCGGGTGCCGTGAGCTTGGGCCGCCCGGGCTTCCAGGCCTGGATGTGTCGTGAGGTGTGGGCACTGACCAGGGGTCCTCCTCCAGGCCGGGACTGTCGCCAGGGACTGTGGCTGCTTCATCTCGGTTAATTCCGGTAAAGAGTCCTGTGATTCTCTCCAGTGTACGGACAAGAAAAGTGAGGCCCACAGAGGGTGGAGGGACCTGGCTTGGTCAGTTAGGCAGGAGTTGAATTGAGGTCTGCCCCATGCCAAGGCTCTTGAGTTTAACTCAGCTGTGCCCCAGCCGTTTTGGCACCAGCAACCAATTTCGTGGAAGATGGTTCTTCCTCGATCTGGGGGTGGGGGGGATGGCCTGGGGATGGTTCAAGCACGTGACATATACTTTTAAAATTTATTTACTTATTTGGCCGTGTTGGGTCTTCACTGAGGCATTCGAACTCTCAATTGTGGCATGTGAGATCCAGTTCCCCGACCAGGGATCGAACCCTGGCCTCCTGCATTGGGAACACAGTCTTAGCCACTGGACCAGCAGGGAAGTGCTGCACGTGACGTTTACTGTGCTCCTTATTGCTAATCTAATGCCGCCTCTGATCTGACAGGAGGTGCTGGTCCGCGACCCGGAGGTTGGGGACCGCACTTTAATGGGTCCACGGCCCTGCCCTCTGCTGGCCCCCCACCCCCAGGGACCAGGGCTGCACCAGCGGCAGATGCCGTGGTGGCTCCTGTGAGTTAAAACCAGCCGAGGATGCTGGGCCTGTGGCCGCAAGAGATGCTCCAGGCTGGGCAGCAGGCTGGGGTCAGCTCCCTCCAGGGCAGCAGGAAGGGGCTGAGCTGCCTCCTTCATCCTTTGGGGGAATTGGAGTTCCTTGGCCACCTGAGGGCAAGCTGGGTTTGTCCCAGGGGGCTGGGGGAGGGGTGCGCTGCACTGGGGGGGTGGCTGGGGGGGTGGGTGTTGCTGAGGGAAGGAGCTGGGAGGAGGTCAGGGGTGGGGCAATCTGGGGGCAGTAGCGTGGCCCTTTCTGATTCAGGGCTTTAAAAGAGAAACTAAAACTGCATCCTGTCCGCCTGCTGAGAACGAACGCCCTGTCGTCCCCTCACCGATTCTTGCCTATGGCGGCTGGGGTTTGCTGACCCCAAGCGGTGGGGCTGGGGGTGCGGGTCGGGTGGTGGTGGGAGAGGCCTTGGCTTCCAGAAGCTCCTTCACCCCGCCTCCTGTCCTCGCGGTGGTGGCCTCCTGTCTGTGGTAGTGGGTGAGTGGCGAGCCTCGCGGTCGTGTTGGCACAGAGCCAAGCTGTGGCACGTGGACGTGGTGCCCGATGGTGGAGGAGTGGGAGGCCCGGCGCCCTAGCCCCGAGTCCCAGACTGGCCCGCCCTCCGCCGTTTCTTGGCATCTTCGTTGTCTTCAACAAAGGAGGGTTGGGAAGCGTAGCCCGCTGTTTGCGTGTCTGTTGCTGGCAGGGGACAGTTGTCTCCCTCCTCTCCCCGTTTCCTGGCTTGCTCTCCTGCACCTGCTCAGGTGGGCGACCCCCAGCTGGACCCAGGTGATGATCAGCGGGGAAGGAGGGGCAGGGTGTGGATGGCTCGGTTGTTCAGGCTGCCCAGGACAGGGCTCTGTCCCCAGGAAGGCAGAGCTGTGGGCGGGCGACGCGCCAGGGGACGTGAGCCGGGGTCTCGGTGGAGAGCGGGTGGCTCTTGCCACCTTGGTGGCCAGCTGGAGGGAGCCGCCCTCAACGCCCTTGGTTTTCTCCGGCCTGCGTGGCCTGGGTGTTGCTAAGGGACTGTTCATGGCGACGATAATGAGAGCTGGCCCTTGTGGAAGCGTGCTTTATCGCCTTAGCCATATGGCCACCCCCAGAGTTAGGTCCTGGTACCCCCGTTTTACAGTTGAGGGAACCAGGGAGCCATGAGGTGCGCGCAGTACCCTCCCCAGGTCCACGCCGCCTTTCAGAGATGGAGCTCGGTTGATGTTGTCGTGCGATGGGGCTGTGAGGAGTGTGCCAGAGCGCTGCCGGGCGGGCGGCTGAGAACACGGTGCACGTGCGGCCCGGCCGGCTCCGTCCTCGCGGGGCCTGAGTTGCCTCAGGACCGCCGCTGGCGAGGGCCTGCTGTCCTGCGGGCCCAGGAGGTGGGGGCGCTTCGGGCTGGCTCGGGGAGGCTGCTATCAACCCCTGAGCCCGTCTCTTGTGGGCGGGGGGTCTTCCCCCCTCTCAGAGGCTCCTGTGAGTGTCTCCACATGCCAGGTGAGGTGACGTGTTGGCTGCTGGGTCAGAGCTGGCTCTCTGGAAGAGCATGAGGCCCGTGCTCCGCGTCTGTCCCCCTGAACTTTTGAGGCAACCCCTCCTGCCTGAAGCCCTTGCTGCTGACCTCAGGCCCAGCCTGGCCGTGCCTGGAGTGGCAGGAGGGCAGGTGCCCGCCCACCCCCCAGGGTATGAACAGACCTTGGCAGGCCTCACAAGTGGCGCCTGTCCTTGAAATGGCATTTTACTAAGACAGACTTGAGGACAGAAAAACTTTCTTGGATGTTAAAGAGCACAGTGATAATATGCTGTCAAATGCAAACCTTGCCTGAGTATTTTCTTTTTGTGTGTGTTTGCCTGGCTATGCCAGGCCTTGGTTGCGGCGCACGAGACCTTTAGTTGTAGCAGTCGGGGGCCGTAGTTGCGGCCCATGGGATCTGGTGCGCTGAACCGTCAGGGAAGGCCCCATTGCCTGAACTTGAAAAATGAAACAAGAACTTAAGTTTCATGCTGTCCGCAGCCTCTGAACAATCTGGCTGACCCCACAGGGCCAGGTGCTCCCTACGCACCACGCCCGGGGAGCAGGGTGAGCGGCAGTGCTGACCAGGCCCCGACGGCCAGCTGAGGCCTCCAGGCCTGGGGGGATGCACCGGCCCCTCGCCCTCCCCACCCACGGTTGGTGCGGGCTGGCGGGTCCTGCGAAGGGGTTGCCCTTGGTTACGCCGCAGCTCTGACACCGACCCTGGTCCCACAGGTATTATCGGGGGACCCACGGGGTCATCGTGGTCTATGACGTCACCAGCGCCGAATCCTTCGTCAACGTGAAGCGGTGGCTTCATGAAATCAACCAGAACTGTGACGACGTGTGCCGGATCCTAGGTGAGGCGGCTGGGCAGCGGGCGGGGCGGCCCCGGGCCGGGCGGAGGACGGCGGGGTGGGGGGCCCGGGCTGACCCTGCCCTGCCTTCCAGTGGGGAATAAGAACGACGACCCTGAGCGCAAGGTGGTGGAGACGGAAGACGCCTACAAGTTCGCTGGGCAGATGGGGATCCAGTTGTTTGAGACCAGTGCCAAGGAGAATGTCAATGTGGAAGAGGTAAGGCCCGCGCCGGAAGGGGTGGGAGCACAGGCACAGCCCCCGGGGGTGGCCGACAGACAGCATCGTCGTAGCGGCCACTGATCGAATGCCTGCTGCGTGCGCCAGGCTCTGCGCCCAGGCATCCCCCTGCCGGGGCCACCTCGCACCTCAGCGGTCCTGAGGGAGAGGCTGCCTCAGACGTGGGCCTGCCCCCACAGCCGGGCACAGGTCCTCTCCGTCCTCCCCACCCCACACTGTTCCCTCTCCCGGTTCTCCGGCTTTCTTTCCCTGGACCTTGGCCTGCAGAGCTCGGGTGGGTGTCCAGGCCGGCCCTGGGGCTGCTGGAAGCACTTGGGAGCCTTGGGGAGGGTCCTGCCGGTGGGGATGGAGCCCAGAGGTCCGGGAGGCCGATCCCGCCTGCGTCCTGGGACACAGGCTGCCCAGCAGTGGGGACCCCGGGCCCCTGTGTCCGGCTGGGGTCACACCGTGGGCCTTTCCCCCGGGGTCTGTGGTGGGGCCCTGAGCCCTTTGCAGGTTCCCCTGTTCTCGTGTAGGTTGGAGTGGGGTGAGCCCTGCCCCGTAGGTTGTCCTTGATTCCTTCCCCGGGAGTGGAGTGAGCTGGGGGTGGTCTTGCGTGGTCTGGGGAAGGTTCTCAGCGGGACGTGTGGTGAGGTAGCGTGGAGTGGGCAGACTCTGGCTGTTTCTGGTTCGTCATCAGTGCAAGGGCACCTTTATTTGTGTCGTCCGAGGTGTCAGCCGAAGGAAAAGAGCTCTTTATCCTTTCACAGAAAGGCTGGAGAATCCCTGAGGCTGACTTCCCCGAGACACAGCTCAGAGGTCTTTGATGCTTTTCCTTTCCGACCTCTGTTGTTCACTGCCTACTTCAAGATGGGCTTGAAGACAGATGTGCAGAAACAGCCCCCAGTGGACTGGAAGGCTGGCCCCAGGGAGGCGGGAGGGGCCATGCTGACCAGCAGAGGGGGCACAACTGTGACAGGGCCTCATCCCCGCTCTGAGGCCGCCCTGCCTCCTTCACCCTCACAGATGTTCAACTGCATCACAGAACTGGTCCTCCGGGCAAAGAAGGACAACCTAGCGAAACAGCAGCAGCAACAACAGAATGACGTGGTGAAGCTCACGAAGAACAGTAAACGGAAGAAACGCTGCTGCTAATGCCCCCAGCCCACTGCAGAGACTGCGCTGCGGCCGCGCCCCCTGCCCCGGGCCGGGGGCTCCTCTCCTGGGGGACAGTCTCAGTTCCGTGCTGTTATTTAAAGAATTCTCTCCATGTTTTTGTACCGGGAGGCGCCGTCGGGACTTCCTCCCCGCCCCCTCGAGTGCCAAGAAGGTGTGGGACGGCCTGCCCTTCCCTTCCGGCGCCCCTGCCCCCCGGCGAGGACGCTGCCAGCCGAGCGGACTGATTAACCGGAGTCTGTACATAGTGTATATCGCTTTAACCAGCGCGCTGCCCTCGTCCTGCTCCGGCTTTTGCCTCCTTCGTGCCAGCCTGCTGCGACACCCCCTCCCCTCCCCACCTCACCCCAACTTACCGCCAGCAGCTTCCGGAGAGGACAGGATCACGTTCTAGAACATGTACCTTTTGCCAACCTGGGCTGGTGCCGTGGGCTCCACGGGACTCGTTCCCTCTTGCAGGCGTCGGCGTCTCCCCTGCATGGAGGGCCCACCCCTGCCCCTCCCCATCCTGCCTGTCACCGCCGGCAGCTGGGGGATCCCGCCTTGAGGTGGGCCCAGGGGTCCCCCTGGAGGCCTGGCCCTTTGCTTCCAGAGGAGGGATCGCTCCTGCCCTTTGGCCCACAGATTTCTTGTCCTGCCTTCCAGACACCTCAGCTACAACCCAGGGGAGCCGTGGCTTCTGACTTAATATATACCAACCTGTTTGGGTTCCAACAGAAAGGTAGGGGTGTGTTTGTACACGGATGGGCTTGCCGGTGGGGGGGCTGCTAAGGAGCGTCATTTTAACAGATAAAAGTGAAGCCAAATCAAATGAATTAAGTTCCTTATACTTTTTTTTCTCTTCCTGAGATTTGGTTGGCACAGCAGCAAAAGTTGCGGCCTCCCCACTCTGGGTCCAGTGTTTTTAGAAAAAACGAATGGCTTCCTGTCACTGCGGAGCTGGGCTCCTGGCCGAGAAGCTCTGCCTTTCTGACCATTTGTTGATGGGAAAGGAGGGGCCTCCCTTGGAGTCCTGGGTCTCCAGTGAGCTCCTGGCACTCCTCAGTGTGGGGAGCGGGTGTCGGTCTGCTGGGCCCTGGGGATGGTGCCTCTGAGCTGGATGCAGGCAGCCTTGGGTCCCTAACGGGACTGTTTTAGTACAAAGGCAGCATGAGAATTTCTTGGCGGGTGGTAAGGAGTGGCCACCTGGGCTGGATGCCAGCCGTGACTTGCCCTGATGCCCTTGGAAGAATGACCAGGGTCTTCTGCACGTCATTACGGTCACTCCCTCTCCCCCTCGAGACACTTCACTCACCTTTCCCCTGAAAGATCATGTAACCTGGGAATAATTTATTTTAGCACCACGATGTGTTTTACTAGATTTCCTTTCTTAAGCGATTTCCAGGTCAAGCCCTGATTGGACAATCACATCACAGATTCACTGCAGATTTCCCATGTCATTGTTGATGGGTTTTTAATCAATAAAAACCGGGGGTTTCTTCTGACGTGTATCTCCACTTCCCCCAGACTGCTGAAAGCCCGCGGTTCTGGGTGACAGACTTGGCTCACTCTGGAGCCATGGGACGAGGTGGGGGTGCTCCGGGCCCGGGGAGGCGGGGCTGGGGGCTGGCAGTAGGCAGCCCTGTCGGATTGGGTGCGTGGGGCCACAGCGCGGTCTCCATCCTCAGGACTGTCCCAGCCACCCTGGGTCCCCGGAGGATGTGGAGACTCGGGGCTCGGCCCTGAGCGTCCAGGTGACGCCGCTGCGGCAGAGCTCGCAGATTTCGGCAATAAGGTGGGGGGCCTGCAAGTTTCCAGTGCGGGCGAGAAGCTCCGTGGCTTCCGGCTGCTGGACACTCAGGCCCAGGTGGGGGGAGATTCGGTGATGGCAGCGTGCCCGTCCGAGGAGTGTGTCACGCATGAATGGGGGGTGGGGGTGGGGACTCAGGGCTGGACCGGCATCCTGGTGGACCTGATGTGAACTTCCTGTCAAACAACAACACTTTTAAATGGTTTGCTAGGATTATTTCTGTATTGAAAGTTTCTAATTATGCTTTTTAAAAAAAAATACTAAAAATAAAGGTTCAAGCTGCCAAATTTTCTTGCAGGGTCTGTTTGCTCTCCTCCAGCTGTGCCCCGGGTGGGCCTGGATGCTCCCCACCCGTTGCATCCAGCCTTTGTCTGTTCTGGTCTGAGTCCCACACGGGTGTCCGTCGAGGCCCAGGGGCACTTTCAGAAGCCAGAGTGGCTCTGTCTGCGAAAGGTGGGTCCAGGTTGAGCTCCCCCGACTGCAGCACACACGCCAGGGAAAGTGCCGTGTTTCTTCTGGAAGGATGTGCCTACAGTGACTCCTTTCTACCTCGAGGTTACTGCCGAGCTGTTGGGCCTGCCTGGGGCTTGGTCAGCGGCGCTGGCAGGGCCTGCCTGCCTGGAACCGGGCAGCTGTAGTGCTGGCTGGGAGCCCGGGGCAGACGTGGCCCCTTGGGTCACGGCTCACAAAACAGCTGTCACTGATGCCTGCCTTCACCCTCCGGGTGGGGGGTGTGTGTGTGCCTCTTCTGGGCTGACTCCACTGACTTGGTACCAATATATGAGGTGACCTCCCAGGTGTGTGGGGTACTCTGCCTTTGCATAACCAGCCAGCGGATCGAAATTGTACACTGCCCAGACACCGCCCCAGGTACCCAGTGACTGAGGCAGGAAGCTCTGTAGAAATTTATTTTATTCTTAGACTATTTTCAAAAGAAGCAGTGGTGTGCTGTTTTTCTAAAAATATGCCTTTATAGATTCATATATAATATGTATGTTATAAAATCCATACATGTATTTACATGGTTGCTACATACAAAATTACAGCACTGTGTGTACAGCACTGTGTCTGTACATATCTGTAGGTACATTCTTTCCACGCATCCCTGCTGTGCTTTCCCCGTGAGGGAGGGAGATGATCCTTGTAAAGCAGCTTGAGGGCGGCCTCAGCCCGGTGCCTCTTGAGTCCGAGTCGGGGCCTCAGCAGAGAAGGTGAAGCGGTTGCTGAGGACGAGCAGGAGTGGGAGGTCGCTGGGGTGACCTTCCGTGGGCCTGGTGGGCAGTTTCTGGAGGCTTCCACCCTGTGGAGTCGACGCTGCCTGGCGGCGTGGCTGAGCGCAGACCCCTGTGGAGCCGTCCTGTGGCCTGGACGTGCTCGGCCGAGCCGAGAACTTGTGTATGTGGAGGGCTGGGGGGCCCTCTGCCCAGCGCCGGGAAGGGGAGAGGGCTGAGCCGGCAGAGGGCCCTGCCAAGGAGCAAGGCCTGCAGCAGAGCGTGGGGAGGAGGCCCTGCTTCCTCTGAGGCTGGGGGCGGCCTCAGCCGCAGCCAGTCCCGCTGTGGCCAGAAGGGCCGGCCATCAGGCCCATAGGCTGGGGCTCCGGGCCCGGAGGCGCATGCATGCGGGTGAGGGGCCGCCTCCTGGGCCGGGGCTGTGGGAGGACAGGGTCCAGGCCCAGTGCCTGGTGCCCAGCAGGACGAGGCTCCCACAGCAGGCAGCTGGGACCTCGGGTGTGCAGAAAGGGCCTCTGCTTCTCTCCCTGCTCCAGAGCAGAAGGGCAGCGGTGCCTGGAGCCGGGCACGGCAGCCGCTCTGGAAGCAGCCTGAGCCCCGCTCCGCGGCGGTGGACCCCAGGGCGGGCCTGGCAGTGGGGACACGGCTCGGGCTGCCCCGGTGAGAGCCGCCTTCAGAGGCAGCGGAGCCTCCTGAGGACGTGGCCCCTGGGCAAGTAGGCAGTGCGGCCGCTGAGCCCGGCCCAGCGCGGCGGGACTGGCGGGTGCACGTGCTGCCCTGGGCCCTGGCCCACACCCCCATTTGAGTCGGCGTCAGTGTGCCTGTCCTCGCTGGCCTGACTCCTCCGGGCTTAAATCTTCCTGAAGAACGAGAAGAGCCGTTTGCCTTCGGCGGTGCTGGGCTCGTCCCCACGCCCCAGGCCCGGGGCCCGGGAGGGGACGGCAGCAGGCCGGCTCCGTTCCTTCAGGTGCGTGTCCATCAGCTGCCGGTCAATGACCCTGTGCATGTCATCCTGCGGGCAGACGGGTGGGGTAAGGACGCTGAGCCGGCGTGGGACGGGCCGGGGAGGCGGCGAATTGGGGCAGCACGAGAGGAGAGGATGGAGGGGGACGTGAGCGAGCAGCTGCAGCCACGGCTGCCCTGACCCGAGACCAAGCAGCACCGAGCGGGGACGCGGCAGCCCGCCCTCCTGGTCTCCCGGGGCTTGGTTGGCTGCGCGGTGTTACTCCCGGGCCGACCCGGGATCAGGTGTGTCTCCCGGGAGCAGCCGCCGCTGGTGCCCGTCTGTCGCCCCGAGCCCTGCTCAGCCTGTGGGCGGCCCCTCGACCCTGCTGCCTGTGTGTCTGGGGGCCGAGTGCGCCCCCCTCACCTGGTCCCCCTCTGCAGCCCCCCAGCCTCACAGCCTGGCCTCGGGGCTCTTCTCGCCCCTCTGCCCCCTTCAGGCTCCTACCAGCCCGAGCTGCCGGCGCCCACATGCCCCTGGCAGGCCCACGTGCAAGGCCAAGGCTCCAGGTGCCTCCTCGCTCGGCTCCCACGGATGGGGCCCCGTTTGGTGGAGGCTGGGGCGGCGCCGTGTTCGAGGCTTGTCGACCTCCAGCCTAGGCGCTTCCTCAGTGAGGCTGCGCCTTTCCCTCCAGTAAGCTAACGCTGCAGAGGAGATGCTCCCTCCACCCCGACTTCGCCTCCCAGAACCAGCTCTTACCCCACGGCCGCTGCTGGACAGAGCGGCTCCGCTCTCCTCGCTGGACTGAGTCTGTGCAGGACAGAGGCGTCCTGCCGTTAATAGGCCATGAAAAGTCCTGGTTTAGAAACAAGCAGCCCTTTCTAACATCAGCCGGGAACACAGCATTGGCCCGGCTGCTTTACCCTAAAGCTAGGGGTAGGGGGGTGGGCTCTGCGATGTCCTGGTGAAAAGACCGAGCCGCGGGCTGAACACTGGAGGAGTCAGCTGCTGTGTGCACGCGCAGAGACGCGGAAGCCGCGCATGGCAGGCGCTCCTGAGACCGGGGCAGCCGCTCCCTCGGGGAGCACAGGAAGAGGGCTGGCTGGGCCGCTGGCTGGCCAGCTTGTCCATCACCTCCCACACACCTAAGCTCGCAGTCACTCAGATGTCTGCAAGTTTCCATGTGAAACTTGGGGACTTTTCCTAAGCGTGTCACCAGGTAGCGGCAGGCAGACCCCTCGCTCATGTCCTGCTCTCCTGCCTTCCTCCCCTCCCCGCCTTCTTCACATACAGCTTCCTACCTACACCCCCTCCTCATCAAGTGACACGGTCCTCACTCTGAAGGTCCCAGTGTCAAATCCTCAGCCCAGTGCTCTGTTCTTGGGACGTGCGCCATAAGATCTACATTAAATGCAACTGTAGGAACGTCACAGGGTCCTTCAGAGAGAAACCCTTTCAAAGCTGCCAATGTTTCTTCTGGTACATTGCAAACTGCATTTTTTTATACTGTAAGATTCAGCAAAGTAATTCCATGAAATCTATCACATCAAACCTCGACAGACACACAAGCTGCTCAAACTCCATGCTGGGTCACGTCCATAAAACAGCCCATTTGTGAGGAGATGGAACCAACAAACCAGCGTCGGCCGGGTCAGCCTGTCGGGACCGGGCCACGTGCTGCCGCGCTTGCGCTCACGGACGTGACGGTGGAGGGAGGGGGAGGCCGGGCGCGATGGCATGGCACACGGACGAGATGACGCCGGCACCGACACACACGACATGGTGAGCATGAGGGAGCGGTGGGGCGGGACCATGATGGCGGGAGAGGAGAGGTGAGGGGGTGGGGGCTTGAAGAGCTCACCTCAAAGGCAGGAGGGGTGTACAACTAAAGCTGTTGATACGGGAACTGAGAAAGGCCACTAGATCAGAAACCAAAGGAGCCAGATAGTAAAAAGCCCTGAGGAAGCAAACTGTAGCCGAGAGAAAAGAGAAGAACAGACGCGGTGAGCCAGGACACAGCGGGCTGGGAGGCAGGGAGCAGCTCTTGGGTTGGGGGGACCCTGGCGCTCCTGCAGCCAGCCAGGCAGGACCCTGGAGGAACAGTGACTTCTAAGCTGCCCCCTGTGAGGGGCTTGCCTGGGAAAGCTGCAGGGGTCTTTTCATCTGTCCAGTTAGGATTTCTTGGGGAGAAACATGAATGGTTACACCCATATCCTGAAATTGTACTTCCCTAATCTCATTAACAAAAAGCAAGTCATGGCCCTGGCCCAGTGGGGAGCGCGTCGGGGGCCTGGGACAGGGCAGGCTGATGGGACTCTGACACCCATGGTGCTAGAGACGGACATACTGAACTGACTCACTTTCCCCAGACCTGCGCCAGGACGGTGCTCTGTGGAAGAAGGAAGCTGGCCTCTGAGAAAGGGAAGAGCAGCGGCCGCTGGTAACCCAAGGGTGCCTGAACGACATGCATCCAGTAATGAATTTCCAGTCAGTCATACAGGGCTTCCTGGGCCCTCCACATCGACAGCAGTATCTTTAGAGCTAATTTCAACAAGGCCAAGACAAGCGGCTGAAGGAGGCCCCTGTTCAAGCCTGGAGGTCAGCATAGCCGGGTTCCTCACTCTAGAAAGTGGCTTCCTCCAGGCACTCAGGGCCTGGATTCACACAGTGAAGACGGGTCACTGCTCACCCACACACACGGGACCCTCCAGTAACAAACCCATCCTTACACTCAGCCTGGGTTCACAGACTCTTTTACCTGCCAAGCCTCAAGCTGCTGCGAGAGGTTCAGTTTCTGCTGAATGGCATCCAGCAGCTGGCTGTTGAGAGACATCATGTCCATCTTGCACTTGGCGAGTTCCAGCTCCACAGCGTTCTTCCTGGAAACACACAAGCTGGGATGAGCGCTGACACCCTGTGCCAGAGCATCAGGTCCTCTGCCCGGGGCACCTGGTGTCCGTGTCTCTGACCCCAAACTCACAACAAACAGTAACTGTAGCTACAGTGTTACTTCCAGAGGCCTGGAAAGTTGGGCAACATGCTTTCATACACATTTTCTCAACTTTCATAAACAAGCTGTAGGTGAAAGGATTATCTGACATCGCCATTGTGAAGTGATTGAGAGAGAAGGATACTTAAGTCAGGACTGGAACCCAGAGATCAAAGACCTCTCACAGCACTAAGGGGCTGCTGCCTTCATCTTTCCCCTAAAATACCAGTCCCCATGGAAGTTGGACTTAACCCACTGGTGCCCCCTTTCCACTAGCAACCCCTTCTTCTGAGGGTGTGTGCAGTGGTAGCTACGCTGCTGCAGAGCTCAGCTACTCACTGTAGCCAACAATCAGGGGGCCCGGGGCAAAGTATATGATGGAACAGTCACCTGCCGGTAACAACCACAGTGTTGAATATTTACTGACAGTGGGGAAACACTTGTGATTTGTGCTGAGTGTAAAAAAGAACCAAGAGACAAGGTCACATATACTAGTTTTGTATAAGAAAACCTGCCTGTGTATATTTGAAGGTCACACCCAAAAATGTCTACTTGGTTCTCTTGGGAGGATGACCATTGATGAGTAATTGCTCCCGCACTTCTGCATTTTGTATTTTCACATTTTGATGTGTTTTACATACTACTTTGTTCACCTTCCCCAGCATTCCTAAACCATGATGGTTCACTGCAAAAGGTAACTTTGCAGGGATACTAAGTAATGGGGATAAAGTGGCAGAGCCTTAGCTGGGCAGCTTCTATAAGGTGGCAGTGGTTGTCCAGCTGCCAAATGAGTATTTAGCCCTTCAGGGACTGATACCGTTCACATCAAAAGGGCAAAACTAAGACGGCGCTCATCATACAGGGCCACAGACCAATGTGCATGGCCTTGTGAGGACCCACCCTGAGGGGCTGCTCAGCCCCCATCAAAGCCAAGCTCGACTAGAAGGCAGCTGGGGTGAACCGTTCGGGCCACCGCGCGACCAGCACTTCCTCTGTGGCTTCAAGTCTACCGAGCAGTTGGTCACCGACCTCGACACCCCGGGGCTCCAGGACAGGGCCCTGCCCACCCATCCCGGACGCTCCAGACCGCTCGCAGCTGGCCCGCCCACCCGCTCCAGACCGCTCGCAGCGGGCCCGCCCACCCACACTGCGGCTGCCGGGACATGAGCTGAGCCTGGCCAATGAGCGCCGGTGTCTCAAATGCCGCACACTGCTCCCGTCACGGCCGCTGCCATTGGCTGGTCGCGAGTGGCGGAAATCCTTGCCTGGCGCCAGTTGCCAAGGACGCCCCGGCTGGCCCACCCCCACGGTCCTGGAAAGTCAGCGCAAACCCCTGGCGCCCCATGGCAGGGAAACCTCCTGAGCTTACAGGCGTCTCCCGGCAGGTGGCGCCACGAGCAGCCTGAAGACCCCGGAATGTGCTGACTAACGCCGCAGCCGGAGTGGCACAGGTCCAGGGGCAACTGCAGCCCGCCGGGCACAAAAGGGAACCCTTTCCTTCCGGAAGGCCCTCGAGCTGGGCCCACCTTGGGGGCCTAGGTGTCAGTCACAGCCTGGGATGGCACCCTCGGAACGTTTGCTCACTAGGGCATCTTGGAGCTTATCATTCATGAGAAAGCACAAAACAAGAATAACAAAGCTGCAGAAGCCCCTGATCAATACATTAATCAGTTTTAAAAAGGAATATTTCAAAGGGCTAGGCGAATTCCTTGTATAAGTGAAACCATTAGCAACTGAGCCCTCTGCTTGTGTAAGGCAGATGCCAGCCCAGGATTTCTTCTCACTGAGGACCTTTCACCTGCAAGGAGATAAAATTGTTAACTTTTCTGAACACCTTAAGGTTTTTGCTGTCCAGTGAAGAGAGGGAAGTTATTCTTCTTGGGGGAAAGTCTCATCCTTATTGTATATTAGAATCATGGGGTGGGAGCTGCCCCCAACCCAGAGGTTCAGACTGAAGAATTGTTCTGGAGAGGGCCCTGGGGTTGGGGGCGGGGAAGATTCTAAAATGCAGCCAAGATCAGAGATGATGTATATAAAACTCTCACAGCCCTACACAAATGTATGGTTGCCCCACACTTCAGTGATTCCTTAGGTCTCGTCTGAATTCTGTATACCCGGAATTTCATTTGTGAGGGACAGAAAAAGAACCCTCCTGGAGTGGTCTAACACTCTAAGGGCAGGGCCAGGAAGGACAGGGCCTCACTCCAAAACCCTTCTTACTCAGGAGGGAGAACTCACAAATCTGTTCAGTCATACTCCAGGAGGTTGACTCGGCCTCTGCGGGCAGCAGGTGAGGGCATGCATTTCAAGGTTTCATGGAGACTTGGTAATTTCCTGTCACCCAGGTGCTGGAGCTAGGTGCACTTTTAGTGGAAGGGACTGGACAACTTGTTTCTTCTGCTCTCCTACACCCTGGCACTTTCTCTGGCTGTATCCCCACCTCCTATGCAGATGGAGGGTGGTCAGAGCCCGATGGCCAGCTCTCTTCTGTTTCTCTAGCTGAGAGAAGCTGACAAACCAGACTCTACTTCTAACTTACTGGGCTTCCACAATTAGCACCCTAATTTTACCATTTTATTCCCTAATTATTTGACGTAATTTCACCCTTTGTTATTCATAATAGTATGGTCTCACTCCAAAATACCACACTGCTATTCAACAACACAAGAGACGACTCTACACATGGATATCACCAGATGGTCAATACTGAAATCAGACTGATTATGTTCTTTGCAGTCAAAGATGGAGAAACTCTATACGGTCAACAAAAACAAGACCAGGGGCTGACTGTGGCTCAGATCATGAACTCCTTATTGCAAAATCCAGACTTAAATTGAAAAAAATAGGGCCATTAAGGTGTGACCTAAAATAAGTCCCTTACAGTGGAAGTGACAAACAGGTTCAAGGGATTGAATCTGATAAATAGAGGGCCTGAAGAACTATGGACAGAGGTTCATAACATTGTACAGGAGGCAGTGATCAAAACCATCCCCAAGAAGAAGAAATGCAAAAAGGCAAACTGGTTGTCTGAGGAGGCCTTGCAAATAGCTGAGAAAAGAAGAGAAGCGACAGGCAAAGGAGAAAAGGAAAGATAAACCCATCCAAATGCAGAGTTCCAAAGAATAGCAAAGAGAGATAAAGCCTTCCTAAATGAACAGTACAAAGAAATAGAGGAAAATAATGGAGTGGGAAAGATAAGAGATCTCTTCAAGAAAAAGAAACACCAAGGGAACATTTCATGCAAAGACTGGCACAACAGACAGAAATGGTAGGGACCTAACAGAAGCAGAAGATATTAAGAACAGGCGGGAAGGATACAAAGAAGAACTGTACAAAAAAGATCTTCATCACCCAGATAACCATGATGGTGTGATCACTCACCTAGAGCCAGACATCTTGGAGTGCGAAGTCAAGTGGGCCTTAGGAAGCATCACTATGAACAAAGCTAGTGGAGGTGATGGAATTCCAGTTGAGCTATTTCAAATCCTAAAAGATGATGCTGTGAAAGTGCTGCACTCAATATGTCAGCAAATTTGGAAAACGCAGCAGTGGCCACAGGACTGGAAAAGGTCAGTTTTCATTCCAATCCCCCCAAAAGGCAATGTCAAAGAATGATCAAACTACCATACAATTGCACTCATCTCACACACTAGCAAAATAATGCTCAAAATTCTCCAAGCCAGGCTTCAACAGTACATGAACTGAGAACTTCCAGATGTTCAAGCTGGATTTAGAAAAGGCAGAGGAACCAGAGATAAAATTGCCAATATCCGTTGGATCACAGAGAAAGAAAGATAGTTCCAGAAAAACATCTACTTCTGCTTCATTGACTACACTAAAGCCTTTGATTGTATGGGTAGCAGCAACCTGTGGAAAATTCTTCAAGAGATGGGAGTACCAGACCACCTTACCTGCCTCTGTGAAACCTGTATGCAGGTCAAGAAGCAACAATTAGAACCGGACATGGAACAAAGGATTGGTTCAAAATTAGGAAAGGAGTACATCAAGGCTGTATATTGTTATCCTGCTTATTTAACTTATATGCAGAGTACATCATGAGAAACGCCAGACTGGATGAAGCACAAGCTGGAATCAAGATTGCTGGGAGAAATATCAAGAAACTCAGATGCAGATGACACCAACCCTTATGGCAGAAAGTGAAGAGAAACTAAAGAGCCTCTTGATTAAGGTGAAACAGAAGAGTGAAAAGGCTGGCTTAAAACTCAACATTCAAAAACTAAAGATCATGGCATCCGGTCCCATCATTTCATGGCAACTAGTTGGGGAAACAATGGCAACAAGGACAGACTTAATTTTCTTCGGCTCCAAAGTAACTGCAGATGGTGACTGAAATCATGAAATTAAAAGACCCTTGCTCCTTGGAAGAAAAGCTATGACAAACCTAGACAGTGTATTAAAAAGCACAGACATTCTTTTGCTGACAAAGGTCTGTATAGTCAAAGCTATGGTTTTTCCAGTAGTCATGTATGGATGTGACAGTCGGACCATAAAGAAAGCTGAGTGCTGAAAGATTGATGCTTTTGAACTGTGGTGTTGGAAAAGACTCATGAGAGTCCCTTGGATTGCAAGGAGATCAAACCGATCAATCCTAAAGGAAATCAGTCCTGAATATTCTTTGGAAGAACTAATGCTGAAGCTCCAATCCTTTGGCCACCTGATGCGAAGAGACACCTCATTGGAAAAGACCCTGATGCTGGGAAAGACTGAGGGCAGGAGAAGGGAACGACAGAGAATGAGATGGTTGGATGGCATCACTGACTCGATGGACATGAGTTTGAGCAAACTCTGGGAGATGGTGATGGACAGGGAAGCCTGGCGTGCTGCAGTCCATGGGTTGCAGAGTCAGACATGACTGAGCAACTGAACAATTCAAGTATTCAGTAACTACATCCATTGGAGAGGACTCTTGAGAGTCCCCTGGCCTGAAAGGAGATCCAATCAGTCCATCTTAAAGGAAATCAGTCTTGAATATTCATTGTAAGGACTGATGTTGAAGCTGAAACTCCAATACTTTGGCCACTTGATGCAAAGAACTGACTCACTAGAAAAGACCCCACTGCTGGAAAAGATTGAGGGCAGGAGGAGAAGGGGACAACAGAGGATGAGATGGTTGGATGGGATCACCGATCCCATCATATCTCAATGGATATGAATTTGAGTAAACTCCGGGAGTTGGTGATGGACAGGGAGGCCTGGTGTGCTGCAGTCCATGGGGTCGCAAAGAGTCGGACACGACTGAGTGACTGAACTGAATCAGGAATGGCTAAGACAGTGTAGGTTTGTGATTCTCACCAAGGATAATTCCAAAATGAACTGGAAATTGAAAGACAACTTGATAGGAGATTCTGACCAGACAGAAACGGGGACCCAAATGTAAAACCAAAATGGAAATGATGGAAATGACTAAAGAGAACAAGGGGAGGGAACAATGGTATATGAAAATGAAAAGGGGAAGATGTGGGGAATTTTAAAGTCAGAAATTAAAATATCATATTACTTCTTAAAAAAGGCAAATGGTATCTATTTACAAATTCTTTTAAATAAGCTCCTTTTAGCTTTCTGCCAAGTAGCCCTGAGGTGAGGGAAAAGGAGCCTGAGACTGACGTGAAGGCCAGTGATGAGCATCAGCTGCGATCCTGGGGAAACGCCCTCATCTGTAAAATTGGGATTGAAAGGCTCCACTTCTTGCTGTGGCTAGGAGGATTAAAGGATGCTTTGTAAGCAGTAAAGTGATGCACAAATGTTGTTATTAATGTGTTATAAAGCCTGCAAAGCAGACACAATTTTAGTGCCCTTTATCTCCTTAGCCTCAATAAACAGGACAGATTGAATGTGTGACAAAGATAATTCTCGGGAGGATGGGAAATAAATATGGTCTTTGCGCCTTTGTACTGCCACATATTTTGAATGTACAAGAATGCATTTATGCATTTCTTATCTGTCAGAGAAATCACAAAACATTATTTAAAAGTGACCCAGTTTACTAGAAATTAACAAAGACAAAGAAAAATGTTCAGTGACACTCTGAGGATGCAGTCAAACTCAGAATGTAGGAAAATTACGAATTAAAAGAGCCGGTTTCTTCAATAAATGCAAATTGAAGGAAAAAAGAGAAGGGGAAGAGTTACAACCTTTTGGGACATAACAACAAAACAGAGTATGCTGGAGTTTGGCATCTGATTCTTATCAAGTATAAAAAGACATTTATGGGACAACTGGGGAAATTTGAACACTGGATACTAGATGATATTAAGAAATTGAAGTTTTTTCATGTGTGATATTTCTGGCGTGTGTTTTACAATAAAGAGTCTTCCTCTGGTAGAGATTTATGTGAAAATGTTTATGGGTGAGATGATATGTCTCGTGATCCACATTAACATGGTCCAGAAGGGGAGGGGGAAGAAATGGACAGCTACAGATGAAACCACACTGGCCGTGCTGTTCATTAGCATTGAAACTGAGGTAGGTAGGTCGGAATTCGTCTCATGTTTTCTACTTTTGTGTATGCTTGAAAATGTCTGTGATTAATAGTAAAACAAAAACAGCAAAAAAAAAACTGTGTGTGTGTGTGTGTATATAAAATGAGATTAGCCCACTCCAGTATTCTCACCTGGAGGGCTACAGTCCACGGGGCTGAAAAGAGTCGAACATGACTGGAGCAACTGAGCACGCATAGTGAGATCAGAATGCTGAGATATAAGTGAAAACAAACAACAAAAAAAACATGTAGAGCATTATCTCGCTGATTTTTTTAAAGAGTCCACAAAAATTGCATTGCATATACACCTGCATACACATATGTAAAAAATCTGCAAAAAACACATACCTGACTTTTACTAGTAGTGTCTGTCTGGGAAGAAGAATGGGATGGGGAGTGAGAAATTCCCGAGTAGCAGGGAAACTCTTTGAGTTTTGTATTCTTCTGTATGATTGAACACCTAAGACTGAGCACATTCTCAGGTTATTAATACGTGTAGTTACAGTTAAACAAGTCATGCCCACTCACTTCGCGATGGCCTCGTCCCGGTCCCTGATGGCCTTCTGAAGCTGCTCCTTTGGTTCCTCGTCCTCAGACGTCACTCTGAGTCGGTCTCTCTCCTCCTTCAGGGCGGTCATCTCCACGCTCAGCAGTGTCACCTAATGGGAGACGAAGGGGATGAACACAGCACACCACTGCAGCCGGCCTGGGGTGTCTCCCTCCCGAGGGAGAAGAGAACAGGCCCAGGCGGGCTCAGGGCCTCTGTGTGGGGCAGGCTGGTGACTTCCCACTGCCCCTGCTCCAGGAGGGAGGGGACCACACATGAGGCTGGAGCTGGGTGGATGGGGGCGCTCAGCCCCGAGCTGCTGCACCCGGGGGCCCAGTCCCCTTGTGCACACCACGGCGCCTCCTTCACCTGCAGGCAGTCTCTGGGAGCCGCTGAGTGAAGGCCACGTGTGCACCAGGGCCCTGGAACACATTTAGGGGGATAAGGACTCGAGTTTTGTTTCCCGTCATCTTCTGATCGACATGGAACACTGCCCTGTGCCCCACACGGGCCCGGCTGGCCCCAGAGCCTGGGACCTGGTTCCTGTTTCTGTGACAGCATTAGATGCAGCCTGGCTTTCCCGTCGTCTTCCTTCAGCTCCCCAGGTCAAAGCCGCAGGGAATTTAGGCAGGAAAACAACACTGTCACCTTTCACTTCAAGCCTCTTACCTTCTCTGTGGTCCATGCCTCTGTGAATGGCACCAGAGCCCACTCACGGGAGGTCAACCTTGGGTGGTGAGGCACCCCTCCCGGTGGCTCCCTCGGTGACCAGAGTTTACCCCACCCACTGTACACAGCGACCTCTCGCACACCTTATGCTATGCCGTGGAGAGAAGCATGTCCTATCCATCTGTGTGTCTCAGACCCTGACCAGAAACAATGCTTAATCCCCAAGTGCCTGTGCAGTGGATGGTTGTCATTTTGGGGCTTGTCAAGCACCCAGAATTCCTATCTGGGGCATTTCTAGTTGCAGGAGCCTCGGCAGGAGACAGAGCATGCGCACCTACTAAGGAAGACAGGGAAGAGACCTCCTTTCCGAGGTACCTGGGGCTACAGCTCTTGCGGGCACAGCAAAGCCACTGGCCAGTGGGAGATTACTCCATGGAGAGCAGATGGCTTTGTCACCCCACTTCCCATGGCTTCCTGTTTTGGAGCTCAGTTTTCCAGCCTGCCTGTTGATTCTATGACATTTCAGATTTAATTCCAGTATATTATTTTTCTGCTCAAGTTGAGTGAGTTTCAGTTGTCTGCAACCAGAAACCCTGCCTGATAGAGCTTTCAATAAATATTTGTTCAGTGAATGGAAGGCGGGGAACCCTCTTCTCACAGCCGATAGGACCAGACTGGAGTCAGGACGCCCGACCCTGCCCTCGTAACTGTCACACACACTTTGACGTCTTCCCAGGAAGGACCATCCATCTGGGTCTGCCCCTCCCCCATCACCTTTCTGCTCTTCGAGGCCCAGGTCTGATCACCTTGACAGTGAAGCTGAGCAAAGGCCCCAGGACTAAGGCTGAAGAGCAAGCTTCTCTTGAGATGCCTTGGGCTCCGTAAGCCAAGACGATCGAGGTGCCAGCTCCTGGGGTAGCAGCCACACACAGTGAAGAGGGGCACGGGACAACCTGTCACCGTGTGCAGGGGGCTCTGCACTCAGGTGCACGGCAGGGAATGTCAGGGCCTGCTGCTCTGAGCTGCCATGGTGGGGACAGCTCCAGTGAGGAGCCTCGGGGTGCTGGGCACCTGCGGAGGCCAGGGCAGGCAGGCGCAGTGAGCTCTGAGGCAGACAAGGCATCAGGTGAGAAGCCCGGCTCTACTCTATTCTTGGCAGGTTTCGCAGCCTGGTAGGCCAGAACCCAAGACCCAGAAAGCACCTGGCGGAGACAGCCAGCCCTCCTCAGACCAAATGAGCCCTGACGTGGCCAAGAGCCAGCCAGGTGTTCTGCCAGCTGAGTCAGAGACAGATAAAACTGCGTGCTAGGCAGGAAATGCCAACATGTCATAGTCTCCAGATAAGACTCCACAAGAATTTTTTGCTGTGACCTGGAAAACCTGACCAAGGTAGAGACTGCCAGCTTAGAAGTGACAAAGGATTTACCCTCTCCAAGTTGCACGTGAATTTGATAAAAAGCAGGAATAAATGGAACTATTCCCCACCATCAAGTTGTTGTTAGGATCAAATGAAATAAATAACATCAAAGGCCCAGCTCAGAGCCTAAGGGCCACCCCTTCTCTCCCCTCCACGAGGACCTTCCAGCTAACAGCTGGTTTATCTGCTGACTTAGGTTATAGCCACCCCTAAGTCCACTCTTCCCCGTTAAGGTAGGTGTCCTTGAAGTTGAATAGCATCAAAGGAAACATCCTGAGGTCATACATCCAGGGCTGACAATCATTTGAGTGCCTGCTCTAGACACTTCAGAAGACAGAGAGGGGTGTCCGAGCTGGAGCCTATCCTTGCAGGCGGTCCACTAAGGCTGGACGGGGAAGGTGAGAAGGGCGTGAGGGTAACCATGAAAAGCAGAGCCGGGGACTCCCTGAGCAAGGGAGGCAGGAGAGTTTCGAGGAGGAAGTGAGACCTGATCAGGAACTTGAAGGATGAGGAGGGCTGTATGTGCAGGGGTGAGTCTCCCAGGGAGAAAGACTGGGAGAAAAGACCCAGCTGTGGGAACGCAAGGGCAGCCCGTGCCACGTCCATCTGGAACCCACGTTCAATCCTGCTACAGCAGAGGCGGTGAGAGGGAAACAATAGGAGCGGAGGCTGGATGGTGGGACGCAGCCAGACCGTGGGGCCAGGAGGGTTTGAGAGTATTGCAAGGGGTGTCCCACCTTCAAGTCGTGCTTCAGAAGATCACTCCAGACCACGTGAAGGGTGAGTGGCTGGGGAAGTGATGACTAAAGGCAAGGTGTGAAAGAATGAAGTCAGAACTTCATTCTGACAGGGGCAGTGGCTGGGAGGACGGAGGAGACAGAACATGCTGAGATTTCAGAGGAGGGGGCACTCAGATCTCATCATCAGTGAGAGCCTCAACTGCTCCCAGCTCACGCTCCCCTGAGTGTTCATGTCCCCGGAGTAATGGCATGTGCTTCAGTCAAGCATAAAGGAGCCAAATGATGGGGTGGGACTGTTTCTCTTACTGTGCCTCCCAGGACCTGGTGTACTGGCCTGGGAGAACTACTTGTCACGTTGCCCAGCAGGTCCTCCTGCCTCCGGGCAGCAGCTCCAGAGCCCACAGCCAGCCCTCCCTGGGGAGCTGCAGGGATGGGGCACGGAGCTCTCCACAGCCAGTAGGAGGGCAGGGGCAAGTCTGCAGGCCTGTCTATGAGGCTGTGCTTCAAACAGGTGATGATCAATTAAACCTGGGCTCTCTTTTACTTTAGAATTTGGGTAGGCTTCTGAGGGGTGGGGAACTGTGGGCACTTCACTGTCGAGGTCCCACACACCTTTTACCTCTGGCCTCGTTTCCAGGACAGCAGAGAATGCTCAGGCAGGAAAACGGCGGGAGTGGAGGTGGGACCATCTGTTGGTCAGGTCGGACCTCAGTCCCACATCACCTAAGTTGGGTTCCCCAAAGGGTACGAAGCTGGTCTGACTCCCCTCATCTTACATCCACCTGAGCCTCTCAGGGTCTTGGGGCACAGGCATATGCTGAGCTAACTGCAGGAGGTGCCCCTGCCCACCCTGACAGCTGCCATTTCCATGGCTCTGGCAACTCCCCCTGCATTACCCACTGCCTTGGGAGTCGGCGTTTCTCCCAAGGGACGCTCCTGGATGATGCAACTTGGCTGAGAGGTCTACAGCCCTGACTGAGCCTGTGGGGAGCGACTGAGCCTGGCAGAGGCCCAACTCTGTATCTTATGTGGGACTGAACGTAACCATCTACTTGATGGGTTCTTTCGTGTTCTTTTGAAAGGGAATCCATAGGATTTGACCTAAATCAGTTATCAGTTGAATTTTTAAGGAAAATTCCCTGGTAGAGGTGGCTTTCTAAATATAAACAGTTCCATGGCAGACTCTCAGCAACATCTACCTATTTCTCTGGATCAAACAATGCCCTCTTGGGCTTCTAGAAGCAACAAAGAGGCTTTCATTAATCCAAATAACTTTAAGGCCCACTTTCTTTTGCATTTTATTCTCCCCATTTGGAAGGTATGATCCCTCCTGTCGCCAACCCCTCTGGGCAAACGACCACCAGAGGGTCTTAGGTTTTAGGCACAAAAGTGTCTCTGGCTGGAGAAGGCAATGGCACCCCACTCCAGTACTCTTGCCTGGAAAATCCCACGGACAGAGAAGCCTGGTAGGCTGCAGTCCATGGGGTCGTGAAGAGCTGGACACGACTGAGCGATTTCACTTTCATTTTTCACTTTCATGCATTGGAGAAAGAAATGGCAACCCACTCCAGTGTTCTTGCCTGGAGAATCTGAGGGGCGGGGTAGCCTGGTGGGCTGCCTTCTATGGGGATGCACAGAGTCGGACACGACTGAAGCGACTTAGCAGCAGCAGCAGCAGCAGTGTCTCTGGCTGCCCAAACCTACTCCCCAGGGCTTGGTCAGGAACAATATACAGCTTTCAGTAGCATCCTTCTGCCCTTCTTATCTGGTCACTCACAAAAAAAAGAGAGCAATAATGGCTTGTCTCCCAGTATCTTCCAAGAGAATAATACCAGAAAGTCTAATGGGTACAACCCCAAAAGACAGAAGTTTATTTCTATAAGTTCCTTTACATTTAAGAAATACTGAATGAAGTAAAAGCCCAGCTTAAATTCCATCTTTCAGCAGCCTCTTCCTGTAGCAGGAAGGGAGGACTAGCTTTGGACAAGGAGGGAAGGGAGCAGCGTTTAGAGGGGAACCTGTCCAGTGTCCCCCGCTAATGGGACCGAACCTCCATACAGGACTCCAGGCAAAAGGAAGAGATTTTATTTATCTCCTATGTAGATTTTAGAAGCTTTTTTGGGTGGGGCTGCTCCTAAGCCCTTTAAAACTTTTCAGATCAGAATACAGATGTCCTTCTCCAGTGTTCTGGAGAGATGAGATCATGATCAAATAGGAAGGGAAGAGCAAGAGCAGCAATAAGTGCCTCGAAAGCTGAAAAACAGGCTGGCAGAGGTGACAGCACTCACAAAGAGAGCTCAGGCCCGCAAAGACCAACTGTCTCCTGGTTTGCAAACTTCCCTGCTCAGAAGCTGCTGGACAAACATCCAAATGTGTCTTGGGAGCTGTGGCACTCTATCAGAATCCACCCAGTTATTCAGGCTCTGTAGAGGGCCAGGAGTCCTGGAGGAAATGGAGGGCCAGCTATTAGTTGTGGCAGGATCTTTTTAGTTGTGGCATAAGGAATCTAGTTCCCTGACCAGAGAGCAAACCCATGCCCCCCTGCATTGGAGCACAGTCTTAGCCACTGGACCACCAGGGAAGTCCCTCAGCTAGTCTCAATCCTAACAATTTCACTGTGGTCTAAACCCGAGGACTGACTTCTCTTGAAGACACTCAGCTCGCCTCAGCTTCAGGTCACTACCCCTGAGGGTCCGACCATCAGAGGAGAGCCTGTCTGAGAGAGACATGGAGAGGGGGACTCATGGGGGTCCCAGGGAGCAGGAGCCCCTGCACATCTTGCACTGGGCCGAGGATGGGGGTGCTCACCTGACTGTGGAGCCGCTGCAGCTCTTCCAGGCTTTGCCTCAGTTTACCCCTCTCTCCCTCCATGAGTTCCCTCAGGGCTCTCGAATCCTCACTGGTCTGCCTTATCTGTTCTTCTAAGGAGTCATCGTCAATTCTCCGGGAGCTCTGACAGCAGAAGAGTCAGCCGGCCAAGCAGAGAGACGGTGAGAGTGGAGGGGAGTGGGGAGATGGTTAGTGGGAGAGATGAAGAGGGGAGGGGAGCAGGGAGATGGTTCAGTTTGGGGAAGAGCAAGGTAGGAGGGATGGGAGGAAAAAAGGAAAGCAGAAGAAGGAAGAAACAGAAGGTTAGAGAAGAGAGTCTGTCTTGCTCAATTTCAACGTGCAGACAATAACTAGAAGTTTATTTTGTTTCAGGCTTTAGAGAAGGGAAACTGCGTGGCGCCAAGAGCCCACCTCCCTCTGCCAGCTCGCTTTCCCACACTGACCCGGCCTCCGCACTACAGTGCATCCCACGAACCACCTTGGCAGGACAGCCACCCTTTCACCTAACTTCACCTAATACAGGGAGAGAGACGCAACCATCCTGCAGGAGGAGGAACCTGAAGAGAAACAACAGCCCGCAAGCTGTGGGTGTAAATGGAGGGGGAGTCTGGCAGGAATCTGACACGAAGCTGGAAGAAAGGCCAGTCTGCTCGGGGAAGCCCGTGGGAATGTTCCTCTCCTGCACCAGAGGAGCCACGTCTAGAATTCTAAAAGGCCCGGCTGTTGATCGTCTCAACTTTCTGTGCTCATGTCTAGCCTTTAAGCAGAAGCTTCAGATCTTTTAAGTTTGCCTGTTCACAGTTACCTCCACCACCAGGACCAGCGGGCAACAGAACAACAACTTGAAGTTTTTACCAGGAGCCAAATTTCTACATTCACAGCCTCCCAGCAAAGTGCTCACACTCGAGGCCCTGAGGCCTTGTCTGCACCCTGAGCCTGCAGGGAGGGACTCTGGGGGCCCCCAGCCCCACATTGGACCCTGTGCCTGCTCCTCCATGAGGAGTGCGCTCCGACAAGGGCTCAGAAGGCATTCTTGCAGACTTTATTAGGTTCCGGGTTCCAGGGCTAACCTCACCCCTCTGGACTTGGTTTTAGCCTCCAAGCCCTGTGGAGCCCGGAGCTCTCATCGCGGACTCTTACCGAGGGCTCCATGCCGTCCACGATGCTCTGGATCAGTCTCTTGAGCTCATTCAGGGCAGTGCGCAAGCTGCCGGCTGGCACGTCCTTAGCCGACGACGTCTCTGAAGACTCGTCCATCGAGGAGTCCGTGGAGACGGCCGAGTCAGCGCTGTCGTTTCCCCGCAGGTGCGAGCACAGATAGCGGACCTGGCAGTAAGCTTCCCAGAGCTGCAGTCTCAACTGCCTCACAAAGAGTTATTCCTGGTTAGGAACTCTAGAGAAGATGGCCAGCAGCCATCCTTTTCTAGTACATGAATCCAAGAATCTAGTTCTAGGAAGTTGTTTTTTTTTTTAATTACTTGTCCCAGAATATACTTATTCTGGGCCCCATACAACTGTGGGTGCTTAGTCGCTCAGGTGTGTCTGACTCTTTGCGACCCCATGGACTGTAGCCCACCAGGCTCCTCTGTCCATGGATTCCCCAGGCAAGAACTCTGGAGTGGGTAGCCATTTCCTTCTCCCGCATAGCTGCACAGACTCCCAGTTCTTGTACCCCCTGCCCTCAGGTCCCTCCCAGCTGCACATAAAGTACTTCTTGATATAGTCCGTTACTTTTGGAGGAAGTCCCCATATAATTAGGGGAATGAGTGGTTATGGGTAATATGAAAAGAAGCCAATTAGATGGACCACAAATGTTCCAGAACCCTGTCAATGCCAGAGTTCTAAGGCTGACTAGTCAACAAGCATTTCCTAAGTGGCCGCCTCAGGACATCTCCAGCCAGCAGGCTGAGGGGCTCACACACGTGCAGACCACGGCACCTGAGGTGTGGGGTGAGCGGGAGGCCGGGGGGGCACAGCACCTGCTCTCTCTCCTGCTCCAGCTCCTCGGCCTCCATGCTCTGCTCTATCTCGGACAGGAGCGACGCGCTGGTGGCGGCGGCGCTCTGCAGGCTCCTCTCCTCGGTCAGCTCCTCCACCTTCACCTGCAGCTGCCGGCAGGAGAGCCGCACCTCCTGCAGCTCCAGCTGACTCTGGTGCAGCTTTCGGGGAGACAGCAAAGGGGGGTGAGGGGGCTGAGCCCGACCACTAATTTACAGGAAAATACAGAGCGGGGGAGGAGCAAGCTAGAAGGTGTTCAGGGGATGCAGTTGGTAAAATACAGATTTGGGAAACTCTACAGGACAAACCGCCCAGCTTCTTCAACAGATAAATTTCAAAAAGAAAAAGATAAAAGGGGAATCTATAGATTAAAAGAGACTTAAGAAACATATTGCCTGACTGCCACATGACTCAAAAATGTGAAAAACAATTATGATATTATTAAGACAACTGAAAACCTGAATGCTGGCTAGATATCTGATACTAAGGAAATACGGCTAAGTTTTCTAGGTGTACTGGTCCTGTGTTTATGTTTTTTAAAGTTCTTATCTGTAAAGTATTCTTTACTTACAGATGAAATTACAAAAATTCTGGGATTTACTTCAAAATAATATGAGAGGGGAGCAAGTGGATGTCATGAAGCTAGGGTGGGGCTGACCAGGGATGGATGGTGTGTAGATATGGACAGTAGGGTATGTGGGGTATCACTGCACTATTCTGAGTTTGTCTGAAATTCTCCAGAATAAAAAGTTGGACACACAAACCTACAGGCATACAAAATAAGGCACCGTTAGACTCTCATCAGAATGACTAAGATAAGTAATAGCAACACAATAATAATATCAGGTTTTGATGAGGATATAAAATAACTAGGATTCTCACTGCTGGTGGGAATGGAAGATGAACTGCCCCTCTGGAAAACTGTCCAGCAGTTTCTAGTGAGTGAAATACACATGTATCCTTTGATGCAGGTGTTCCACTCCTAGGTTCAGACCCAGTAATAAATGACTGAAAATGTACATGAAAGACACACAGGGTGTTCACAGAGGCATTATTCATAAAAGCCACACACAGGAACAATCTGAACACCAATAAAAATAGAATGGATATGTTCACACTCTGCAATACTGTGCAGCGCGCCACGAAGAACTCAGAAGAGCACGCTGCTTCTCTATGCCACAACGTGGATGAACTTTTTAGACACTGATGTTCAACAAAAGCCAGACACAAAACAATTTATAATGTAGGATTCTCTTTATAAAAGGTTCCAAAACTTGAGATAAAAGAGATGAAAGTTAGAAGAGAGGTTTGCTTTTGAGGAAGCGGCAGTGAGTTGACTGGGAAGGTGCAGGAGGAAGACTTGTGGGTACTGATGATGGGCTGTCTTGACCTGGACGGTGGTTACACAGGTACCGATTAAAGCTTTGATGGGCTATATACCTAAGGTCTGTATGCTTTACTACATGCATGTTGTACTTTACTGAAAACATGAAGGGGAAAAGGACTGTTTGGAAAGGAGCTAGAGGCAGGATCTGAAGTAACATCTGGGCAGTAATACCAAGAGTTCCCAAACTCATGGGAGAAGGAGTCTCACCCTACTGTGTGTCACACCTCATGGATTACAGGTGAGGAAGACCCCTGGCGGGGGACAGATTTCCACAGCATGTGCGGCTCAGAGGAGGAGAGCGATGCCAGTGTGGAGGGGACGGCCACGCAGGCATCGCGACTCACGGGCCAGGGCTCCTCGTCTTCTGCTGCCACTACCCCACCCCTCTCTGCATTCCCTGTGGCCCCTTCCCTGTGGAGTCCTAACAGGGCATTTGCCACCTGATGAGGTACTGCTGCTGAATGTAAGAGGAGCCTCCACCACGGCCGCTAAATGCCACACTCTGACTGGTACACTCCATCACTGCACTTACTTTCACCACAACAGAGCCCAACTGCAGAACCAATCTGTTCGCTGACCGCTATGCACACGTCCACATCCTGTGCACAGGAGCAATGTTTCCCACTCCTGTACTTGAGGACTGCTCACCCCGCTCTCCCCCGACTGAAAGTATATTTTGGGAGGTGGGGGTGGGGAGAAGAACTTTCTGGGATTTAAATTTAGTTATTTTAATCCTTTAATAAAATAGCATCTTTGGTCACCCCTGTTCATTAAGAAGAGGGAACGCCATAGTCTCTTTTCCAGACTGTCATCAAGGTAGGCCTGTGGCCCCTGCAGAGATGCAGAGTCCCAGGGGCAGCAGGCAGCAACTCAGAGCTCTGTGGGTCTCATGAATGGAGCAAGCTGCCTTGCAGAGCCTTCAGCTATCCCTTTGGGTGCCCTGGGAGCTCTCCTCTGCTGGTCAGTATCAGAGAACATTTGGCTAATGGCACCAGTGGTCTGGGTGTGCCTTAACTGGGAAGGGTTTGGAGCCTGGCTGCTCACAGGATGACAAAGGACTTGGCAAGCCTGCCCTGCATGGTTCCAGTGGGTCAGCAATACCTGCTGGTCCAGTGGGAACTCCTCCAGCTCTGGTTTTGAGGAAACTCAGAAAGAAGAAATTAGGTTGATTTTTTTTTTTAAAGATATGCCTAGGAAGCCTTTGGCACAATTACAAACGGCATATTAAATTGACAAAATGCTGTGCAATTATTTTCTAGACAACTTCCATGTACATCTCAGCAGGGGAAGTTGAGCACTGACAAGTACAAGTTCTTAGGCATTGGACAACATTAGTTCAATTACTCGCGCACACTCAAAGGTGCTTAATTAACTGTAACAGCAAGAGAACAAACACCGGGACAGGTCTGCCCTCTCTGGTCAATAACTGATCCATAAATAAATTCAGAAAAACCAAACCAAGGAAGAGTCTATTAAATACAAGAACCTTTTAACGTTAAGAAATATCACCCTTTATAGAACAAAGATGAAACTAAATGTAATTTATATGTGTGACCGAGGAAGACACCAAATGTCTTGTGTTTGAAGAGTATGCGAAGTTCAAGCTTAGGACACTCATGCCCTTAAAGTGGGCAGAGGTGGGGGCATTCTCCCTGTCTTACGCTGAGGGAACTGAGATGGCTGATATTAAGTGATGGGCCTAACGGCACACACCCAGAGTCAGCGAGGTCTAGACTCCAGGTCATTTGCTTCCTGGGTCCCCACAGGGAGCAGGGCCTGCGTTCTCTGCTGATGAAAGCCACCCACTCCTTGGGACAAGGCCCCTGCACACACCTGTGTGCAGACACTCACTGGGTATGAAACAAAGCAGTTAAGTGGCCCTCTTGAGGGACAAATCCTTTACTGGGTATTAAGAATTTAGCAAAATGCCTGCTTTTTAAATTTCCTGGGCCCTCAATAGTCATTTTTATCCCTCTCAGACTGGGAAAAAAAAAAAATCAGAGCTGGATTTGATCAGTGTTTTAAAAATCTGTTTTCGACAGTAGAACCCCAGTTACAGAGTGAGCCAGATCAAAGAGGGCTACTCTGCTTGTGGCAGCCTATTGCCCTGCCCGCTCAGCCCTTCTCTCATCCCGTGTCTGAGGAAAAGGATTAAAACCAGGGGATTAGAAACATTCCAAGGCCACTAGCTCTACAGTCTATAAGTCTGATTTAGGACCATTCACTTACTCCCTGAGTGAGCTGAAACTTCTATTTCTGTATCAGTACAGGCCATTTCAGCAACAGAACTAATTAGCAACAACTTAAAGAGAGTTTTATATGACTAGAGGGGGAAAAAAAATTACAAATAGTTGGAAAAGAAGAGATTTCAGTCCATAAATGCAGCTTTTCCCAATGCAGAGGTCCCAAAGTGGGACTTCCCTGACCTGATGCAGGCGTTGCACTCCCATTCTTGAAGAAGCCCAATCGAGAGGCAGCGAGTGTGCAAGGGGTGAGGATGTGAAGGAGGTGTGACTGGGGACTCTGGCTGCTGGAGAACATACAGCCCACATGCCAGCCAAGTACTGCACGGTCCACACTGGTTCTGGCTCTTCCTCACCCCCAGGTCTCCCATCCTTGATCTGAAATAAGGACTTTTTACTTGTGAATTCATGCTGAACCAGTTTTTGTGTTTTTTTTTAGGCAGGGCCATTTCCCCATTTTTCTGTACTTTTTCCTCCTCCTCTCCATACTCTACCTCAGCAACCCTCAGGAGAGCAACTGATGGGGTAATAAACGCTGGTGAGACACGGACTTTGAAAGGCAAGTGATACACAGGAAGTCATCACTGAGAAGCAAGCAAAGCAGGCAAGAGGGTTCCCTTCTGGATTCTACCCAGGACTTACTACACTACTTAGGACAGAGAGTTCACCTTTCTCAGCCTCAGCGTTAGAACATCCGCAAAAACACTGTTCTGTGCAAAGCAGCTGACAAATGTCCATGGCTGTTATCACCGTAAACTTTAAGAGCAAACTCCTTTCTATTTTGAAAACTGATGTGAGGCTTTAGCCAGCATCATTTTCTGTTCAACACTTACTGAGGCCCCACTTTACAGAAAGTTCCCAGCTGAAGGTATAAAACAGAAAAAATGTTACTTTTCCCTTAAAGAGACTAATCACTCAGAGGGCTGTTTAACTGATAGTATCACATGACCTTAGCCTAAGACGTCTCCTCATCCCACGACCCAGGGCTTTCCTCAACAGCCGACTGCTGAGCCTGGGGGCCTTCTGAAGCCTGGTCTTTGGGCAGGGACCCATCTGGCACAGGACTATCCCTGGCTGACCACCTGCACACAAACAGCACTGCTGCAATCGGCTCTGCTCCCTGGCACGCTCAGAGGACATCTCAGGGAAGCAGGGCCCGGAGCCCCAGGCCCAGGGCTCCCAGGTCAGCACAGCAAAGCTTTCTCGGTAGCAGGAGCTGCACTGTCTCTGGGGAGGCAGAGTGTTTAAGGGGTTGTTTCCTGTCAGGTGTGAGCTCTGGGATTCAGCTGAGGCCTGGTAGCAATTCCCAAATAAGGACAAATACAGCCATGAAACAATTTCTTTTAGCAAGGAAAAAAAGAGGCTAATTAAACTCATAGAGGGGTCTGCCTGTGTCTTCGTTAGCAACTGGCAGAATCAGGATCTGTCCTGCTGCATTCAGTGGGCAGCTTCTGGGCTTCTGCTCAGGGCCAGCCCACTAAAGGCAGGGGCCTGTGGAAGCAGCAGCAGAGAGCACGGTGGGCCCAGCACACAGTCACAGGCTCCCTCTGAAGTCTCCCACAGATTCCACAAACCCCAGGAGGCAGAACAGCACTGCGGGTGCTCCTGTCATGTTAACAGCCCAGAAAGAACTCCGTGAAACTGCTCCTGGGGCCAGTGGCTCAGAACAAATTGGAAGGATGACCTGCTGGAGCAATGCACTTGTTCTTGGCAGAGAATGACCAGCCAGTTAGCCACGCCTGAAGAGACCCATATCCGGCCCGAGGAGAGACCTCAGCGTCACCCACTGCCCGTACGCTAGCCTCTCCTTGGGGCGGGGCAGCCGAGCGCGCCTGGCCCTGAGCCCATCCTCTGCCCCCGCACCTGGAGGTCCTTGTCGTGGCCCTGCCTCTCCAGGATCAACACCCGGTCCTGCAGCTCCTCCACTGTCCCCTGGAGCAGGTCGTTCTCCTCCAAGGTGGCGCTGAGACGATGCTCCAACTCCCGCTTCCGATCCGACAGCATCTTGATCTGAAAGCGGGGAGAGAGCCACAGGGCGGTGTGGGGTTACACCCGGGCTGACGAGTAGGGCAGGAGGGACCAGCCCCAGAACACGAAGGCAGGCGTCTCTCCAGCGCTCTGCCCCGGCACCCCCTCGCCGCCGGAGAGAACAGCTGTGAACTCTCCAGCTGAGGAGGAAACCCCTCCCCTTCATACACCAGTCTGGGAAAGGGTGGGAGTTAAGCTTTGGGGAAGCTGGAATGTGGGGTGTCAGGCAGAGGCAAGGAAGGTCAGTGCCCTGGAAATTCCAGAGATAACACAGACAAGGACTCCACCTTGCTGCCCACAGCACTTTTTTTTTCTTGGCTGTGTCATGCAGCATGCGGGATCTTAGTTCCCCAACCAGGAATCAAACCTGTGCCCCTCTGCAGTGGAAGCGTGCAGTCCTAACCACTAGACCACCAGGGAAGTCCCCTGTCTATGACTGTACTCCAACACAACAGCTGGTGGGGTAGTGGAACCTAACCTGTGGGACCCTTCTCTCTTAAGTCCTGAGCACAAGACAAGGCCCAGGACAGCCCCTGGGGCCACTGCACCCTCATATGCTTCTCTCTCTCTGTTCTTCCCTCACTGCTGGCAGGACTGGCACTAGAGGTCACAGCTCAGACCCAGGGCCCCAGGTGAATGGAGGAGCCCCAGGATACAGAAAACCCAGCAGTGCCTGCATCAGCTCCTGCTCTGGGAGGGAACAGGACACTGACAAGCAAATAATGGATTTTACTCAAGGTATCTTCTGCTTCAGCGAGAAACTTCTGACTAGAAGCCATCTTTCTCCTTTTATTAAACAGGCTGATATGTTTGTGGCAGAAAGTAAGGAGAACTAAACAGCCTCTTGATGAAAGTGAAAGAGGAGAGTGAAAAAGCTGGCTTAAAGCTCAACATTCAGAGAACTAAGATCATGGCATCCGGTCCCATCACTTCATGGCAAATAGATGGCGGAACAGTGGAAACAGTGGCTGACTTTATTTTTCTGGGCTCCAAAATCACTGAGGATGGTGATTGCAGCCATGAAATCAAAAGACCTTGTTCCTTGGAAGGAAAGTTATGACCAACCTAGACAGCATATTTAAAAAGCAGATATATTACTTTGCCAACAAAGGTCCATCTAGTCAAGGCTATGGTTTTTCCAGTAGTTATGTATGGATGTGGGAGTTGGACTATAAAAAAAGCTGAGAGCCAAAGAATTGATGCTTTTGAACTGTGGTGTTGGAGAAGACTCTTGAGAGTCCCTTGGACTGCAAGGAGATCCAACCAGTCCATCCTAAAGGAGATCAGTCCTGAGTGTTCATTGGAGGGACTGATGTTGATGCTGAAACTCCAATACTTTGGCCACCTGATGCGGAGAGCTGACTCATTTGAAAAGACCCCGATGCTGGGAAAGATTGGGGGCAGGAGGAGAAGGGGACGACAGAGGATGAGATGGTTGGATGGCATCACCAACACAATGGACATGGGTTTGGGTGGACTCTGGAAGCTGGTGATAGACAGGGAGGCCTGGCGTGCTGCAGTTCACAGGGCTGCAAAGAGTCGGACATGACTGACCGACTGAACTGAGCTGATATGTTTGTACACCGAGTATCCAGCCAGCCTCAAGAGAGATACAGACTTTCTTTTAGGAAGGTATGTTCTGTCTCTTCCATTTCAGTGAGAAAACAGAGGAAAAGAGGAAAAAGATGCCAAGTTTTCTGTGGCCTCAAGGTTTGCAGGGTGAGAGTAACCCAGCATGCCCCCAGGCCAGCGATGCTTCAGCCCAGGAGCCCTGCCCTGCTCAGGGGGCTATAGGAACATTCCTGAGTCCCCTCAATTGCCAGTGGCCTTGGGGGACTCCTGGAGTCCTGCAGGTCCCCCGGCTCCTCCCGTTATCAGTTCCCTGATAGACTGAGCTCTCACCCCATTTCTTGTGAGTATTCTCCTGGTGTGGTTAAGATGTGCTCCACGCTCTCTAGTCTAGCATGATGACAGTTCACTAAGGGGACCAACCACAGATCGTTTTAGGAGAGATCTGGAAATGAATGTCCCAAGTCCTCTGAAACCTGCCTCCCCTCCGTTCTTTGGCTGTTCTCACTCTCTGCACTAGAATTCTTGCTCAGAGGGCACGACTCTTCCCTAGCCACCTCCCCCCAGTTGGATGGGATGCCGTCCTGGGGAAATGAAGTATCAGGCCTTTGTCCAGAGGGATCAGGTATCCGGCCAAACAAAGGAACACTGTCTCTCAGGTGTGCACCCGGGGAAGGACCGACAGGAGCAGCCCTGTGAATGGCCCCTCGACGCTGCTCACATGAAGGGAGCTCTTGCTCTAGCTGCGTTTCATTTAAATACTCTCTGACCTTCACATTTTCCCTCCCGTGGATCACCTCTGGTTCCCGGGTTCCACTCAGGGAAGTCACGAGATAATCTGGTTCTGATACACAACCCCGCCCCTTAACAGAAAAAAAAAAAAAACAGACTCAGAAGTTCAGAGCTACGTGAAGTGACTTATTTGAAATAAACAATTTCATAGCTTGGCTTCTAAACGTAAAAGTGTTACTAGATGAAGCAGGGAATTGGCATTAGGTAGCTAACTCCCTCAGCCGATCCTACACACCCTGAAACTTGGGACCCAATCTGGCCACAAACATTCCTGGGCATGACCCTGTGTCACAAGGGTCTAGGCAGACAGGCAACGGGAGGGAGCTGGACCTCGGCAGAGGTGGCTGAGCAGCATGTCATGCACACAGACCATCACAGACAGGCATGCCAAACCCACCAGCACCAACTACTTACTTCAAGGACCTGCTGCTCAATACCCGTAGGAATTCCAAGGGAAGGGAGGGAGGAAGGGAGTGAGAGCCAGGAGAAAAGAGAAGATATTGACAGACTTTAGGAAAAACATCTTTGCGTCATGCATGAAGCAGGGGAGCAGCCATCTTGGCCTCTTGGGTCTGACCTCGCAGTCTGGTTCCTTTACCATGGTGGTAGCGCGGGACTGTCACTCAAAATGTAACTCAGTCAAAGGGCTGTTGTTCAGACACTTGGCTGAGGGGTTTTGGGAGCAGAGGAGGTGGAAGCCTACCCGGCACAGAGGCCCATTCGGGCTGGTGATGTGACCCTTCCCCGCTCCTCACCTCCCCACAACCTGGTCCTCACAGATTCGTCCCCTCAGCGCTACTTTCCCCCTCTGGCTTGCTCAGGGCCACAGATTCTGTCTGGCCTCTCATATGCTTTCAATAACACTACTTTCTTCTAAACACCACACACAGTGCTTTCCATGTGTTAACTCATCAAATCCGCTCATCAACACTATGAAGTAGATTACTTCAACCCAATGAAGTAGATATTACTTTCGGTTTATAGGTAATAATAATAGGTCCTATTTAGAGGGATTGAACCAGACCCAAATGGAACAGAGAAAGGGAAGATTCTCTTTCCAATCTTCCATTTAGGATGTTTTTGGAGGGATCAACATATTCAGTAAAAAGTAGGTCATTACTAATTTCAGCACACTCAGCAGTAACTCTGAGCAACCTAACTTTTCTAGACAACAGGCTACCCAGAGAAACATGGTCAAGTGATCCCCATTCAGTATCTCACAGACATCTCGTTCAGAGGACTCCATGTCTAAAAGGCCAGGCTCCCTCAGTGAGAAAAGTCCTTCTGCCCAACATGGCTGCTCGGGGAGGCTGACCTCGGCCTGAAGGCTTTCCAGCCGGATGATGTGCTGGTTGGTTGATGAGTTTTTCTCCCGAAAGTCTTCTCTGAGGGCGTGTACTTGCATGGAGAGTTGTCTCTCAACTTCTGATGCCTGTAAGCAAAAGAGACCATGGGGCTGATTCAGAGGTTGTACAAAGGAAGGCCGCTCAGAATTTTGCCTTTCATTTCTCAAACACCTCTTTGCAACTCTACTCTACAGGAAGTACAGGATGAGAAACAACCGGTTTCCTACCCCGTTCGCTTTGTTCTCTCATGCCCAAACAAGACTAACCCCTATTCCTACCTAAAGTCTGAATGACTCTGTCTAGGTCTAGGACCACTTTGCTGATCAGAGGAAACAGGCCTAGAAAATAGTAAGTTCTCAAATGTTAGTTATTATCATTATGACTCTGCACAACACACAGCAGAAGCTCCAGAAACATCTACTAAATTGAGAGACGGTCTCACTATTTTACATGAAAGAATAAGACCAATATACCTAAACCTTAGAAATTCCTTTATCTCCCCCATCCATTTCCTTATTGGGGGCCAATAAAATAATCTGTCTTTACCTCTTACTCCCAGTCAATGTGGGCACTACTTAAAATACCCTGTCATGTCTGTTAAGATTCTTGCTGTTCATTTCTCAAGGATGTTTTCTGCACCTCTTGACTCTCTGGGGAGTGCTGGCCGAGGGGCTCCTTCCCCACCCTGATCTGTTTACTCTCTAACACAGAGACCCAGCAAACACCAAGGACCACTGAGTGTCTCGGCACCGAATATGCAGGAGAATGTTTTGAAAGAATGTGCCCTTGGAAAGATCCGAGCCCTGTCATTCTCCTGAGGGTCTGGCCAGCTCAGCCCACAGAAGAGAGTCCTGAGCACTGCCCTGGGGAGGACAGCCACAGGACAGGGTAACTCACTGCCTCAGTGCTTCTGGGAGGCCAAATGGGGTCAGTAAGCATTATGGGTTCTCAGGGGAGATCACAGCATGCAGAAATGGTGAGGAAAGGCTTTCAGAGGAGGCGGGTGGTAATAATCTTGAAACGGTAGGCGAGCTGTTCAATGAGGCTCTCACAATAATGGTCACATGTTCAATAGTTCCTTTTATCTTCAAGTGCTATGTAATCCATTGTCCATCTTTTTGTGGTCCCATAGATTCAACAAACATTCCCCCCTCCCTGACCCGCCACAAGAATCAACCCACAGTGCTAGTTTTTAAACAATTACAAGACACACAGCAAAAGAAAAATCAAACCATCTCTTTTTTCTTCTTATTCTAAATTTAGTTTTCACTACCAGTTTATTTCCAAATCACTTAGAAACACAGTATTAGTCACTCCTACCTAAAAATAACATGAGCATTATTTACCCAGTGCTTACTATGTGCCAAGAACTGTGCTAAATGCTTTATCTCAACTGTCACAACCAAAGTGGAGCCTATCACCCTCACCCAAGGCAACAAACTCAGGGAGGTGAGGGAACTTGTCCCACATCTCAGTGAATGACAGCATCAGAATGGTCAATTTAGGGCTATCTTACTCTGAAATTAGGACTTCAATACTACCTTCTTTTACAGTACCTTGAAGTAGTTTTTCCTATTTCTATCACTCACTACTGAAACTGACTTTATCAGTCCAATTTAGACTTTTTTTCTTCTTCTTTTTTTTAATACTAAGCAATTTTATTTATGATTCTTGAAATTTCTTTGAATAGAATTTAGGGCCCATAAAGAAAATTTCCTCTTATAAATGCTGCAGTTTGGTCACCTACATGAAATTCAGTTGACTATCAGAGTTTCAAATATGCTGGAGATTACAAAGCACTGGGTAATTCAGGCAGCTGTGACCTTATTCTGAGCATCACCACCTTGACATGAATCATGAGACAACCAAGCCTAAGAGATGCACTGGGGACTACAAACACAGCCCAGCTGTTAATCAGAAAGGCTCCTGTAGATGGTCTCCTCTCAAAGCAACCTTCCTAGAAATAAAATTTGTCTCTTCCCTCCAGGAATCATGACACCAGAGTCTCAGCTCTTAACCACTATGTAATAATGACTCTTTAAAATGTCTGACTCCTCAGATGTGCCCAAGGGTATACCATTGACACAGGCTTTTGACCTACAGCTCTCATTTGAATTTCCAACCACCCGCCCAGAGAAGCAGGAATTGCTGGCCTCATTGTGCAGACAAGGAAGGAGGTGGAGGCCAAAAGGGAGTGGCACTGGCCTCGCTCTCCTGGTTCTGGGCTCGCCCACAACACCCTGGCCACCTCCAGCCAGACGGCCGGTCACCTGTCTGTGATGGTGATGGAGAGGAACACATCGATCAGACATAAACACCATCTTCAAGGAGCTAATGCACCTTCCAAAATATATTATTTCCTCCTTTTTCAGAGATGGAAACTGGCACAGATATTTTAGATCTAACAGAATGAGAATTAGCTGTTTCGTCACATAAATGAAATAATGATGGCTAAAGTTTGTCCATACTCTTATGTTCTAAATGCTTTCTAAATAAAGTATCAGAAAGATTATAAAGTCAAAAAAAAAAAAAAGATTATAAAGTCAATTTTACTTCTATAATGAACACAGCACACTGGTGCTTGTCAGTGCTGGGGCCGGGATTTGTACCCAGATCTGCAGCTCCTACCCTCACATTCTCAACCCCAACACACAGCACTCCCTTTCTACTCTCCTTTGCTCCCTCTCAAAAAAGCTTACAAAATGAAAGTGACACCAGAGAAACAACCTTGAATTTATTCTAATTTAAGACAAAGGGTGAATTATTAAAAACCATTTGTAATTTACTACAGTTGAAAACTGCTGCATTAGGACATGAATTTAAAAATAATTAACTTTATTTTCAATTTCTTATTTTTATTTATTTATATTTTTTGGCCACACCATGTGAGATCTTAGTTCCATGACCAGGGATCAAACCTGTGTTCCCTATAGTGGAAGCGCATAGTCTTAACCACTGGACTGCCAGGGAAGTCCCGATTTTTCAATTTTCAATTTCTGTAACAGAACCCCATTGCAGAATATGGGTTTGTTTTCAAAGTACATTTTGTTGATTTTTCCCCAATCTTTCTGTGTGTATGTACATGTGTGTGTACAATTAAATTACTCATGATCATATTGCTTATATAGATTTTTCTTTTTTCACTTAGCATCAAAATATTTGATATTAAAAACAAACATCAGGTGTCAAAAACATTTCCACATTATTTATTACTGTGTGTGCGTGCACTATAAGCTGCTTCAGTAGCGTCCAATTCTTTGCAACCCTATGGACTGTAGCCTTCCAGGCTCCTCATGTCCATGGGTTGCCATGCTCTTCTCCAGGGGATCTTCCTGACCCAGGAAAACAAGCTGTGTCTATTGCATCTACTGCACTGGCAGGCAGATTCTTTACCACTAGCGCCACCTGGGAAGCCCAATTATTTATTATTATACTTCTTAATCATCACTTTAAATGGCTGCATAATATTCTATCAAGAAGATAAGTTATGATTTCCTTTAGCACTCCCTTATTGTTAGGCATCTGGGATTTTCCCAGATTTTGCAATTATAATGAATACATGTCACTGTGATGGTGGTAGTAGAGCTTTCCTACTAACAGAAGTAGAATGGAAAGCCTGAGTTTTCCAGTGGAACGCAAAAACTGAAAAAAGTAGATGATTATAGTTTAGAAGAGGAAATCTACACCAATTTGAAGCAAAAATGGGTTTATGATTAGCCTATGAGTAACTGGAAAATTCAATTAACCAAAAGTCTCTATTTTCTTATTTTCTATTTTTCTTATTTTCTTATTGTCTTATTGTTCTTGATAAAACTTTCAAATTTGGTAATGGGTGCCATCAGTCTAATGAGAGCATATTATATGATAACCCCTCTTTTTACTGTCTTGGGTATTTACAGTACTGAAAGCAACAGCCATTTAATAGACAGTAAGTAAATGCAAAAATGTATGAAAGTCTTTTGTTCTCACTAGGCTTCAGTGTGCCAATTCCTCCTGAAGCCTTCCAAAAATAAAACTCAGAAGTTAAGTTTGTTATGTATTTATATTTTACTTAATGTAAAAGATAGTTAAGATTTTTACCAATACCTTTCCAAAGGGAAGGTTTCATTTCTGGTAATATGTTGGGTTAGGTTACTTGGACTGACCTTCTTACTGAAAACAGCTAAAAATACTGGATAAAATTGAAGACTTCTTAAAAGCATCAAAGAGCTGACAAGATAGTGATGGAGTCATAAGAATGCTTCACACAGGCACATTATTACAACCAACCAATGGAACACAAACAGTAACAAATAAACCTAACTACACCACAAATGAACAGCAAAACCACAAGTAAAGTGGGTGGAGAAGAAAATAACTTAGCTAAATGGCTTTGGAAAACAATCCTCTGACTCTGTACTATAAGGTTCAGGAAGAAAGAACTACACAGAGCTACAGAACTGTAGGTCATAAGTTGCTTCTCACAGATGAATGGGTTAGCAATTCTAACATTAATGTGTTTAATAGAATTGAACAAATAAGTAAATGTATCATGGATAATGAGAACCAGGTTCTCCTTTGGAAAAAGAAGTTACAAATAAGGAAAGAGGGAAGGCTAACATGAACCTTGTGGTAGTGGATTAGAATTGAAGACATTAGAAAGAATTTATGGTGTTTAACACACACACATACACACACATACACACACATATATGTAAGTGGAGAGACTGAGAAAATGATTATATGCATCTGTTTATGAATGAGGTAAAATTTTACACACTCATTCCCTAATTCTGTCTTCCACAAGGGCCTAAAAGTAATGACATCTTAGTGCACACATTGGTTTTTATACACTAATCTCTAAGAAATGAACCAAACAAAGCTCCTTGGAGAAATGGCTTGTTTCAGGGTCGGGGGAGGAAAAATACAAGATGAGCTTAGACCATCTTAGGATGCCAGAAAGAAAGGAAGTGATCAAAAAATGAGAGAGGTACACTGAATAGACATAGAACTCAACTTGAAGGAGCTCCCAATGGCTAAGGCTGGGACCATTTGATCAATAAAACAAATAATGACAGTGATGAATTAAAATGCAAAGAATAAATAT